ACAAGGTTGTGCAACTGTAACTGTTCATATTCCGGTTGACTGTCAGTCAAGTGATGATGAGAAGAAAGTGTTTGATGGTAACGGCCAGTCTTCAGCGTTGTGTGATGATGATGCTATTGATGAGCATAAGTCTTGTGTCTCTGAAACGGATGCTAATGCACACCGAATCGACGCTACTTGTCTGACAGAACGGAATCATGATGACGTTGATAATAAACTGGATGTCACTGATGTGACAAATGAGTTACCGACGATGATGAATACTGTTCAAACCTCCTCTGCATCAGGAGATGGAAGGATAAATATTGATCCTACGTCATGCTACTTAAGGTCTTCTGGAGACGATGAAATGTCAAAATTGGAAATCCCACCCTTGCATATTATTTATGGGTCAAAAACTTCTGTTGATAAGTTAGCATCACGGACTTCATGGTGTCTGCTGTTCGGAGCAAGTGGTGGTGGATTGGCGACTCGTCCCCATGATAGAGAATGTAGTCCTTGGATAGGATATGACCAGTTTTGCGACGTGTTGTTCATGTTCGTATGGGTTGATTGGGTAAGGTTTATACTACCGTTAGGTCATGCCACGATAGATAGAGGAATCAAGGGCCTGATGGGAAAGTATAGGTACCTAGTTAGCATGATAGGTCATATCCATGTTGGATGGCGGGTAGGCGTACTGCTGTAAGTCCTACACGTTATTCCGGTGTGGATTAGGGGATAACGGGGAACCCTAAATAAAGTGTCATTAACGCTTGCTCTTTTTGCATGGAGGGATTTTGCGGGCCGGTGTAGAATTCTTTTTGAATGTTTTGTTTTTTGGAAAATCCCTCCATGTTTACATATTTTTGCTATGATATGACGGACTTTTTCTGTTGACATTTTTGGTATTTTATTTGATTCCAATTTGAGATTTTATCATTGTATATTGTTATTCTTTCTATATTTTGTACTTATATTGAAGTTTTTGTGTTTGCTTCTGAACTGTACATATATTGTTTAAATCTGATATAATATGGCTACCGCCACATTTTCGGACGGACGCAGTGGCTGCTGGACTTAGCTTCACTTATTGGTTATTGTGTCGGATACTCTGCGGAGTAACTTAACCCTGGAAGAAACACAATTTCCGTAAGGCTTTGTATTTCCATTTCCTAACTAAATACGGAGACGTTTTCTCCTAGAATTTTGTCCTTTTTTGAATTGATTGGGACCTGGGACTAGGAAAAGCGTACAGGAGTCCTTCTATTGGAACCGATTGGGACGGCCACTGTCGAAATAAATTTACACAACATATAGAAAGAATAACAATATACAATGATAAAATCTCAAATTGGAATCAAATAAAATACCAAAATGTCGACAGAAAAAGTCCGTCATGTCATAGCAAAAATATGTAAACATGGAGGGATTTTCCAAAAAACAAAACATTCAAAAAGAATTCTACACCGGCCCGCAAAATCCCTCCATGCAAAAAGAGCAAGCGTTAATGACACTTTATTTAGGGTTCCCCGTTATCCCCTAATCCACACCGGAATAACGTGTAGGACTTACAGCAGTACGCCTACCCGCCATCCAACATGGATATGACCTATCATGCTAACTAGGTACCTATACTTTCCCATCAGGCCCTTGATTCCTCTATCTATCGTGGCATGACCTAACGATAGTATAAACCTTACCCAATTAACCCACACGAACATGAACAACACGTCGTAAAACTGGTCATATCCTATCCGGGAACTACATTCCCTATCATCTGTCAATCGAGTAGCATGTCGGTTCACGGAGTGCCCGACCTGGTGGATGGTAGTTTGAATAAAGCTGACGGCATTATTTATCATATGGCACAGGACTTCACACCACTGTAACAATTAGTATTTCCCGACTGCTTCTCCTTTCGCACCTCAGGACCATAAGGTCCCACATCTTATGGCCACTAACTTTATTCACCGGGAGGATCTAAATGAATCGCTTCAGGTTTGAGACAGTATGAAGAATGATCTCCCATATCGTACTTGATCTTGTAAGAGCTAATCAAGATTAGCGCAACAACATCAGGGAAGCTAATTAGAGAAAACGTTCGTGTCGGTTGATCTTAATCGACAGCCTGCGAGATAAAACGAGAACATGACTGTCTCACTGATGGAATTCAGTATAAAAGCAAAGCCTGCAGTGCATTATAATCATTATAATCAACGTTCCCAGGATGAAACAGCCCTTCCAACGTTTCCCTAGTTATAACGTGAGATTACCCGAATAAACGTTTTAGGATTTCCTTAGCCCTTTTATATCCCATAGACGCTTCTAACATCATGCAACCTTCGATGGCTGTTTTAGCCTTACTCTGGCAGTAGTAAATTAGATAGAGTAAACGCAAGCTATCATCATCGACTCGAGATTCGACATAAGTCTCAAATTGATGCATTAATTTCCATTATCCACGAGGTTGGCTATCAAAATAGCTTAACTCAACCTTTGGTAATTCTAAGCCTACAGAAGGTGCTATAGACATCAAATCTTTTCAGGGTACTTAAAAATTATCATTTAAACTACAATTTTTAGTGCCTTCTAACGATGGCTTAAGACAAAATAGACTGTGGTCTTCCTTACCTGAGAGTGGGCTATATATATTTGAGGAAAAAAAGGCACTTGCTCTGTAATAAAGGATTCGTATTTCTGTTTGTCTTCATGGCTTTCAACCAGACTTGAACTTGACTTCTTCCTACGAAAATTCATTGTAATATTTGCAATTCAGGAGAAAGAAACTCCAAATTATTGATATTGCATAAAATTTTAACCTCCAATCTACCAAACCTGATCAGAATTTAGAATTCATTGGTTCTGTCTTCTTGAATTATTGTCGAAGGCCTGGAAAACCAACACATTCTTCCTCTTCAAATATTGTTTAGACCTGTTAGGGTTGGAGTGGCTTCTGAATTCAGAAGAACAGTTTAGAAGTTTAGATACGCGCCTTTCCCAGTATCCCAACAAGAAAGCAATTTATCTGGATAAGGAACGGTTCTACTATTGATTAAAAGGTATGCATCGTCACCTAAACAATATTACACTGTTCCTTAACAAATTTAACACAATGTGTTTCCAACTGTTCTGTGGCCGACCCTGTCTAAAAAGCTTGTTTAAAAATCAGAGTGCGGATGCTGCTGCAGAGGTGTACCAGGTGATGAGAAAAACCATTGAATGTTTCTGTAGCAACGTAAAAGGACTACGGGGTAAATTCGAAGTGATCACTAATATGAGCTCTCAGATGGAACAGAAGATCACAACCGTAACTGAAACTTGCCTCACACTTGATATTTCAAACGGCGACCCCAGCTTCAAAAGGCGCGAAACTTCTGATGTGATAGGGCAGATAAAACAGGAGGTAGAGTGGTGATAGATATTAACAGACCCCCCCCCATAGATAGAGAGGAATAGAAAGATAAATTGACCGAGGGGACCATGCAACTACCAAACTCGGGATTTAACTACACACTGCCACCAGGAGACTTAAAGGCTACGACCTTAAATCTCAGCAAGCAGTGAACAACTCCCACAGGATGATTCGAAAGCGGGTTATCACAACCGTCAGAAGTTCAGGACTGACCGAATATCCATATGACGCAACGAGATGAACTAAGGTTGAACAACTCTCAGACTCGGATCATTCGCTATATAAAATGATCAGCGCCTAGTCGAGGATTTCATGTCCACACAAAAACAGTAAGTACTGACAATCGGGCAGATATGTTTACCGTGGTAACAAGCAAGCCACTTCATAGGGATGAAAATCACGCCTACCTTTGTTTCACTGGGCCAAACTAAACAATCACGGTAAAGCATCTTCCACACGCTGCTATGACCACGACAGTGGTGAGAGTGAAACTAGATGACCACTAAGAAACAACGAGAGATGTCATTCAGTGTGCTGTCCTACACAATGCACTTCGGGTTCATCACATATCTGAAAAGAATAGATCATTTTTAAAGGCACCGGACACTTTCTACAGGCGAGTAGGAGAGTCCAGCGGAAATGGAAACTCTCCCTGAAGGGTTATGATCGTAGTTCTTACTTGGAACTGAGAAGCAGAGGAACTATCAAAGTAATAGGAGACACTTGCAGATGAAGCTGACAGCCAAATTACAGGCAATTCCAAAATACGTGCTTACACACATGGATAAGAACTCACAAAACTAAAAATGGCTTAGATCTTTAATGCCGACTTCACTGACCAGTTGAACTAATTATTCACAAGCTCGGAATGCTACTCTGATCAGGTACCAGCCGATGGTTTCATTTAGTACCGTGAAAACTCAAATCCGTGCACCCTGGAGTCACCAAGGTGTGACAGTAGTCGCTCTGTAGTCTTCAAACAGCTTTCAGAAACCCTCAATTCACCGATAAGTGACCTATTGAGGCGTTCACTGCAGTCATACCAACTCCCATTTTAATGGAAGAAAGCTACTCTTACTCCAATCTTCAAAGGAGGAGAAGGAAATAATCCAGCCTGTTAGTGACCAGTAGCATTACTATCAATAATATCGAAGGTAATGGAAGATTTGGTGAGCGAACAGATGAGAGAGTATGTGCTTAGGAACAACACCCGCGAAGACGGTCAACACGGGTTTAGGAAAGGTGGGTCACGTGCATCCAATCTTCTTATAGCATGGAACAGCTGGAAAACCTGCCCGTTCGTATACTATTTCTTGACTTCGTAAAAGCTTTTGACACAGTGACTCACGTACTTCTAATCGCAGGGGTTGCTACGGTGGGCTTCACTGATCCACTTCAACCTTAAGTCAGAAACTACCTAGAGAACATGAGGTTTCATACCAAGGTAAATAATGTGCATGAGACCTGGCGAGTCTCAACATTAGGAGTATCACAAGAAACCATCTTAGCCTTGGCGTCTTCTATTTATTATTCTCTACATTGCAACTAATTGTTCTCCGACCTGGTGATGTGAAGGTTGCTGGTACCCAGAAACGCTATCAGACTGGGATAAATGAACTCACTCGAATCACAGGATATACAAATTCTTTAATAACTGCAAACCGACAAGAATTAGTGCAGACAAATGTCTAGACTACCAGTCATTGGACATTATAAAACAAATGGAACCGTACCGAAGGAACAAGAATCGAGCGTAAAGAAATCAACTGGTTTATTTTGGCTCGTGAAATAGATATTGGATATTGGAGGCAGAAAGATGTGACGTATTCGAAACTCCGTTCTACCAACTCCAAGTTCCGATTGTCAGTTTCTCTTACGCTCGTGATTGTATTATTTCTGATTTCCGTCGATTGCTTTTCTATTAAATGTAAGTTCCTTCTATATGCTTACTGAGTCGTTAACCCACCTTTTCTCGTGTCTTCTAAATAACCTCACACTCCCTCATCACACATAGTACCTTTCGGCTTAAGGCAAACTTACCAGAGGTTGAAGTTATAATGATTTAGCTCATGAAGTCCTATTGTTTTGGTGCATTGAGACAGTTATTTTGTATCTGTTTTCTGTGCTTTCACTATAAATTGATATTAAATTCACTATATGCACATGGCTTTTGTTTTCTTATTCCCTTTTTAGTGATGCTGACCACAGTAAGCGACTTTGGAATATGTCAGAGTTCTAGAAAGTGTAGATGATAACGTGGGACTTTATTTTCTCTGTCCTGACTTGAAAAGCGAAAAATGCTTCACCTAAAATCTGTATCTACGACCCGAAAATATTTTCCTTCTTTTCTAGATGTCATATAAGATTCCTCTAAGTTCATATACACTCCTGAATTGCTTTTCGCCAACCGCATCACCTTTTTGACGCAAAAAAGTCAAGGTAGAATTTGTTGAGTAGTAGGAAATATTTAATTATTTAAATTACTTGAATATACAGGTCAGAATAAAATATTAGTAACCTACATTTTATAGAGTAAAGCTTTAAATCTTGTCTCGCAAACATGTGAAAGAAGTAGACCAGATTGTTGTGAAATTGAGAGCTGGTGTTACTATCATCCTCATATTGAAACCGTGTAAAAGTCATAGTGTTGCTGTCTATTCACAACTCATGGCTATTCATGACCCCTGAGATTGCCATTTTAGTATTTCTTTCAAATACACACCTTCCTCTTGTGCTTTTTTCTTGCAGATTTTCATACACGCTTATCACTTTCACAGAGGTCACATGCCATAAACAACCGCACCAGTAGCTTGGGATTTCAACAATAGCTTAAAAAATGGTCAAACCAAAATGTGATCCTTCTGGTTTAGCTATCAAAACAGGTGGTATCCGATTTCAAAAGACAAAAGGTCAGCATATACTGAAAAACCCCCTCGTTATTACCACAATGGTTGAAAAGTCTGGTATCAAGTCCACAGACTCCTTACTTGAAATTGGTTCTGGAACTGGCAACCTTACTGTCAAGTTGTTGGAGAAAGGAAGGAAAGTGTACGCGTTCGAAATCGATCCAAGAATGGTCTCAGAATTGCAAAAGCGTGTGCAAACCTCGTAAGTTTTGAGCATGATCCTAAAAATCATGTGACAACCGATGAGTTGTTCTATACATTCCATTTTACTCAACTAGGGAGTAGATATGTTACTACTGTTACTAGTACTATTATTATTAACTCACCAACCAGGTACGCATTCACATACTTGGTTTTGAGCCACTCCCTAAGTGTGAAGGTTGTTGATACTACCCGGTTGCTGTATTCAACATAGGTAGAACGTTAGTATTCTCACTCAAGTAGTATCAACAGCTCTTACATTCGGGGTATGGCTCAGTCAAGTATTTAGTAAGACTGTAGGATGTTATATATTTAGACTTCCTAAACCATATATTTATAATGAAATCTTAATGTTCTTGTGAACCTATAAATGATCTTAACTCCTTTTAAGCGTTGGTCTAATGCTTGGCTGTTCAGTGTTCTGGTTACCACCTCTTACACCTCTGTACTCTTGTGTCAATTTTTTGCTCATTCATTCTGTAGCTGTTGTACAACACTTATTGAAGTGTTATTCATTCAATTCTACACAACAAAACAGGTTTCAAAACTGATGGATGTAATGGTGCATCAGAGTTCACTTTACTTGGCATTCGTTGTTGTAGTGTCAGTTACTACAACTGTAGTTAATAAACGTTAACAGTCCCTAAAAACCGATAATGTGTACTAGCATCATTATGAGCATTTATTTATTTCTAGGCCTTACCATCACTCATATAGCATTATTATTGGATATGAAAAATCCTTTAAAGATAACGGTGATCATGATAAATATCCTCAAAATAAAAGGAGAAAAATGTAAAGAGTCAAGTCTAAGTAGCTCACTTTTTCCGAAATAGTTGTATTAGACGTCCGACTTGATGACAGCTTCTATAAATAACCATTCAGGGATTTGATATCGGTTGGTCACTACAGAATTTTCTAATCAGATCTATTTAGTGAGTTGAAGTTAAGTATAAGCTACATCAAGATAAAACAACGGATTAATTTACAATGATATAAAATATAATTTCTGACAGTACAATAATTACAGTCTTACTCGTTAATATAGATCATCATAACCATTAGATTTGGCATCTGAAGTCACCTGAATTTTTACATTACTTAATTATTTCCCGTATTGTTTTTCATATACCGACCTCATAGTTTGTCAGTTTTGTGAGAACTACACGAAAATACTGCCAATTATTTTGACATTCTACGTTCAAAATCACATTTTTATAAATAGATTCAATCATAACCGGTACACAATGATATAGAAAAAAGTTGTTTTCACCAAAAACGTTTATGTGATCAGATCGCTTTTCCGTTTTATTATATCTGGTCAACGTTAATAAAAGCTTTATAAATAGTAGCCTTACAACAGTCGTTTCGCAATCTTCCGTTTATTTCAATCCAGATACTCAAGGAGTCCGGCTATGTTGTTCACCTCACGTTTCTATAGTTATGTTTGGTTTTACCTTGTGCTTAAAATTTACAACACAATGAAATCGTCCGAGGCGTTATCTGTCTAGATCATCTATTTCCATATTGCGTGAATAATTACTTCCACAACTATAAGCAATCTAACTTATTGTCTGTCTATTTAAAATCATCAATTGTAATCTTAGTAACTACCTGAAATAATCTATTGGCCTTTTGGTAGATGCACTGCTAAGTTCCTCGTTTTTGTAACCCCCACACCAAAAGTACAGATTTTAGAAACGTTTTAACCCTATGCTTTCTATACAATATTTACGTCAGACCACACCGAACCAAACTAGAAATTCTTGTTGGTGATGCAATCAAGGCAACATCATGGCCCAAATTCGATCTCTGCATAGCGAACCTGCCGTATAAAATTTCCTCGCCGTTCATCCACCGACTGATTAACGCAGGTCATGGTTTTAGGGCAGCGGTTGTCATGCTTCAGAAAGAATTCGCTGATCGTCTTACAGCTAAACCTGGAGATAAATTATACTGTCGTCTGTCAGCATCTGCTCAGTTCCACTTCAAAATTGAGCAATTGATGAAGGTAACTTGCTACATTTTCTGATCACTTTTGATTATTCTTCATGTTTGTTGTTTAAATTTTATTATAACGTTTACGTTTCCCCAAAAAGAGATTGGTGGTCGAGGATATCGGAGTGAAATAAATTTAGTGAGATAAAAAAAGGTCCTAACCTTCTGAAGTCATGAGAGAAGACAGAATGGATGCATCTGTGCCATCGCAAACGATTTTCAGCTACGTTATTCAAAGTCTCTAACCATCGGTTACTATTGTCTCACGGACCACAGCCTGATAGTCTACACCTGCTAACATGGCTCAGTCCACTTTTCAGTGACTTCATGGATTTGTGCTATGTTTTGTTTTGGCCGTCCCTAGCTTTCTTCCAGCCCACACCAAAATACATAGCTCGTTGAAGTAATTGGTGGTTAGGTATAATTAACATATGTCCCAACTGCCCCAACTGATGAACATTCACTACTTCATCAATTAATTGGCCATCTTTACCTAACACTCCCTAACAACCGCATTTTCCCTAACCCCTAGCATTGCTTACTTGGTAGTAGTACCAGGATATACGAGCAATGCTTCGAAGACACATATGATCGCATACTAATAGCTTACGAATATCCTCTACTCTTACTGGCCTTGTTCCACACCCGTATAGTAGGACGGAGAGGACTGCTGCGCATTAGACTCGTCGTTTGGTTAGCGAACAGATGACGCAAGTTGGCAATAGGGAGTCGAGCCTTCTGTATCTGCGCCGGGATTTCGTCAGACACCAGGTCATCAGCGCTGATGAGACACTCAAGATAAGTGAAGCGGTCGACACGCTCAAATACTCCACTTCCTATCACTAGACCTGGTTCCAACGCAAGCCGATCCTAAAGCAACATTTCGCATTTCGGGGTGGGAGGAGAAACGCATCGCTGATCCGTCCGAGTAGAGAGCCTGTTCCAGGTTAGTATACTTTGGTACTCCTTTTAATGATACGCTCCCATAGAAACTCACGACCGACAGGGTCGAACTCCGCCTTTAGGTCCGGGAACACGACTATTGTCGGACGCCTAAATGTGTGTGTGTTCCAGGACCTGACGAAGTGTGAATATCTGGTCTATGCATCCACATCCTGGTCTTAAACAAGCCTGGTTTTCACGAGCTATAGTTGAGTGTCTAAGTATTATTGAGGCCAGCATTTTAGACACTATATTAATTAAACTGATCCCTCTGCGATTGTCGCAAGAGGACTTTTGCCTTTCCTTATATATTGAGACATGTCAAATGTGGTTACGTCCAGTTTCCAGATTCTACCTAATATCTCAGTCAACCTAACTGCTAAAACTAGACCACCATTTTTAAAAATCTCAGGGGTTAACCTAGCAGGACCTGCTGATCACCCTCAGGTTTCCTATAACCTTCCCAACGTCATTAACAGTTGCAGGGCCTACATCAACTCGCCATTCAAATTGACTGGAGATCATGGGTAGCCGTATTGTGGGGCTGCAGGCCAGTTGAACTACTCCTTAAAGTATTCTGCCATTCAATCCAATCTCCTGAACCGAGAATGAATAATATTCCCATCTTTTTCCTAGATAGTCTCAAAAGCAGTTGGATTTCTAATACCAGTTTCTTTGATAAGTCTGAACAGTTATCTACTGTTACAGGCTGCCGACACCTTTTCAATATCTTTTGCTTTCGTTACCCACCACTGTTCACGATCATAGCGTATGCTTCCTATCAGCCTGTGCTTAAGCTGGCTCCGCTGCTCAGAGCCAGACGAGATGGGTTTTCTAGTATCTCTATCAGTTCAGTATATGCTAATGATATCCACTGTTTCTCCCTGACTGATATGCTTGAACGAGTTCACCTTACTGATGATGGGTGTGGGTATTGCTTATGATCGGATTCAAAGTATAATTGGTAAGCTAGAAAATAAGTTGGTTGTATTTATGTTAACTATATGAACAAACTGAGATATCTCACCTACTTGGAGTTTCACAAATTTGATATCTGGATATTTTCAATTCGTTCTCACGTATTCAAAATCAATTTTTTATTCTGTTTAAAACAAAGCGGTTATGCGTCGAGAAAACCGTTACCGCTTGAATTTCTTTAAAATGTTTGATAAAGCGTATGACATTTTTATTTGTCAGTAGTGACAAACTCTTTTGAATGTTGTCCAAAAACCACCAAACTCTTGAGAATTGCATGGAGGGTCATCTAAGGACATTTTTACTTTTAATCCTTTTACGTTTCGTCATCTCATAATGATTTAGATGGGAAAATTAAAGTGATAATAAATTGATTCGGGCGCTTACGTTAGTTATCGTCCGAATACCCATAGGATCTCCAAAATGTAACAACAAAAGATACGAAAATACCAGGAATTAATGCCCTATGTATGAGATTTCACTATAAACTTACGTTTTGTCACAGTTTATACCATTTTTTAACCCTTACATTTATTATTAGCTTGTTGTAACTATCACCAAATAAAATGCTTGTCACTAAATAAACCTCTCGCAATTTATTTTCAATATTAGATCAGCAGAAACAGTTTTCGTCCCCCACCACGTGTTGATTCGGCTGTTGTTCGAATTGAACCCAGGCACCCGCTACCCCCTGTGATGCATTCGGAATGGGATGGATTATTGCGCCTTGTGTTTGCTCGGAAAAACAAAACAATTGGAGCTAACTTAAACGGCAAGTCAATAGCTTCACATTTACGTAAGATTTACATGGAGACTTGTTGCACGAAAGGATTGTCACCAACTCCTGAAGCTATTGCCTCTGAATCTACTGGTGTGTCAGCCATGGAGGAAAAAATAACCAACATACTTCGAGATTCAGGCTTCGAAAAAAAGCGTGCTCGTACTTTGGACGAAGATGACTTCCTCAGATTACTACTAGCCTTTAAAAAAGAAAATATATATTTTGGTTGATCTTTCGGTAGTTTTTATTTTGTAAAGTGGAAACGCATGGTATTTTGTGCATAACAAAGCATACCTAGCCAGTAAAGAATTGTGGTAACCTATAGCAAACCTCCCACTAACAATCTTGGACCCAAGGGTTTAAGTCCCTAAACTGGTGGACCGGTCCTGCGCCTATTAAGCATATAGTGTCAAAAAGCGGGAAATGGTCGCATAATACAGGTATCATGTGTTATTCAACCAAAAGAGTAGCTGTTTTGGACTAAACATATCAGGAAGGTCAAACATTTTGCTACCACCAATCTAATGCCATGTATTCACCATTAAACACAAGAAAACCAGTCTTTTGGGAACTATGTACAATATATTTATTAAATTATTATGATCAGTAGAATATGAACGTTTAAGTTATACAAAGCGTTGTCCTGTGGATAAGAGTGGACCAGCGAATTGTTTGTGACTCTTTATTGCACGACACTCTTTAGCAAACTTCAATCGAAGGTTATCTGCTTGACATCTTGCTTGCCGTAAAACGGATCGCTTGTAATGACTGTAAGTAGTCCGAAAACCAGGATGTGATGTAGACAAATGACAGATTTTACTTGCTACATTAGAACTAGAAAATCCAGATGTCATGCTTTTTGTTTCAGGAGCCATATTTTTGAAAGCGTGCAAGCTCACAGCAGTATCTGTTGTAATTCTTATTTTCCCATTTGACTTGCCATTGGATAGTGTTTCTGACCTTAAAGGCGTATGAAACACCTCAGTTGGCCATTCGAACGCGTCTTTAACTGCGTCCTCGTCAGAATGAAGAGATACTGAAAAACCAAAAGTGATTCATTATGTATTCCACTCTAAATGATTATTGCATTGGTCATCAAAGAGAATGAGTAAAGTAAACATTGGAAAATATAGTCTCAAATAATTGGAAATTTCCACCAATCCGTGACTTATTTAGGATTTACACTATTTATACTGTCAAATAATGATTCAGTTAGATGAAATGTTTTTTTCTTTGAAAGGAAGAATTTGTGGTTAAAATGATTAGACATAAAAAGAAATTAACTAACATGTAGAGTGAGAACGCAGGTAGAATACTACAGAGATTTCCGCATAGTTCCTAATCTGAAGTTCTATTTTACAATTTAGTGGCATTTTACAATTCATCAGTAGAAATTTGTTCTACAGAAGCCATAATACCATAAACCTAAATTATTTTAGTTTTCTATTGATAACTAGACAGGGAACTATGGTTAAAAACTGTCTCAAGAGTACCACCTAAAATGTGTTTCCAACTATTCTCATTCTTGGTTTCAACACCTACCATTTTAAAAAAACGTCCCATACGATCGCTAAAGCAAAGATTAAGATTAGCGTAAGCAGAATAGTGATATACATAGAAACGACCATGGAAAACAAGAAAGTGATTGTCAAGGAGATTTGAAGATCAATTAGATGTGTTTCAATACTTTCTAAACTAACCAAGAGCCGTTAAAAATAACAGACAATAGATTATTATACAAGAAACACATAGGTAGTGGTTTGATGTATGACACTTCCTAAAATCCACATGTTAAACTAAAAGGATTAAATATAAACTCAAAGGCCTTGAAATATAGAACGGTAATAAATTGTGTTTGTATGTGGTCGGATAACTTGGTGGTTACGACTAGAAATATACTACGCCTACCGTATATGCATCATACGAAATGCGTAGTTGTTCGTATACCTCTATAAGATTTAATTTCACATAGAAGTTGGTGACGTCATACAGATTCTAAAGCAGAATGCTTAGTCATTACTTGCAATTGTTATCTTTGTGTGGTAATCAACTCACAAACCTGATTTGGTTAGGTTTTAGTATAGTGATGAACTCATGAGAATCGAGTAAGCTACTTCAGGATTGTGGTGCATACGTCAACGTACAATGATGTTTACTCAGTCAGTCAGATGCAACGTAGAACTTCGTATGTAAGTACATCAGTTCATGTTACCATACCACATCAGCACAGAGATATAATTGTCAATTCAAATCCAATAGTAGAAGAAGTAGTTAAGGTATTAAAAGTGATCGGAGAGGTTAGGATTAGAAAATATTATTCAAGAAGTATGATTCAGTGAGAAAAGTTTAGAGGTGTTGAAGAATCCAGAAGATTAGGATTTGAGATAACTCAGAGAATAATACACCGGCGCCATTGCAAACGGTTTTGAGCCATGTCATTCAGGGTCTCTAACCATCGATTATTATCTCGCGGACCCCAACCAGGTAGTCGACAACTACCGACATGACTCAGTCCACTTGTCAATGACTTCATGGATTGCCGCCATGTTTTGGTCTGGCCGACCCTAACTTTCTTCCAACTTATTCCTACACTACAAAACAAAGCTCGTCGAGTCAGTTGGTCGTTAGGCATACGCAACACATGTCCAAACCACCTCAACTGATGAAGTTTCACCACTTCATCTATTGATCTGCCATTCTTACCTAGCACCCGTTTCCTAATGACAGAGTTGCTCACTAAGTTGTCCCAGGATATACGAGCAATGCTTCGAAGACACCTGTGATCGAAAACCAGTAACGAATATTTTCTACTCTCACTGGCCATGTTTCACAGCCATAAAGTAAGACGGAGCGAACCACTGCGCGGTACACTCGTCCTTTAGTCAGCAAACGGATATCTCGCCTACACCGTTAGTGAAGCAATTCGGCAAAAGCCAATCGAGCCTTCTGTATCCGTGCTGAGATTTCGTCAGTCACCAGGCCATCAGCACTGATGAGACACCCCAGATAAGTGAAGCGGTCTATGCGCTCGACTACTTCACTTCCTATCACTAGTTCAGGTGCCGATGAAACCCAACCTTGAAGCAACATTTTGCATTTCGAGGGGGAAAACCGCATCCCGAACGTGCTTGCATTGTTGCTTAGAGTAGTCAGAAGACTCTGCATTTTGTCAGCGTCTTCACCAAGTAGGACTATGTCATCGGCATATTCTAAGTCAATAAGCGAGCCACCTGGTAAAAGGTCTACTCCAGAAAATTCAGACGACGATAAGGTTATTTCTAGGAGCATGTCTATGATAAAATTAAACAAGAATGGAGAAAGTGGACATCCCTGACGGACACCACTTGAAGTAGAGAATTCCGGTGACAGTTCGGCATAAGCCCTCACTCGACAAGTGGTGTTTGAGTAGAGAGCTTGTATGAGGTTAATGTACTTATTTGGTACACCTTTCAATGACAGACACTGCCACAGAACCTCACGATCCACAGAGTCAAATGCCGCCTTAAGGTCCAGGAAAACAACTATTGTAGGACGCCTAAATATGTGTCTGTGTTCTAGGACCTGTCGTAGTGTGAAAATGTGGTCTATACAGCCACGTCCAGGTCGAAAACCAGATTGGTTTTCTCGAGTTTGCTCTTCACGAGCTTTCGTTAAGCGTCGAAGTATTACTGAGGCCAATATTTTAGAAACTATATTAGTTAGACTTATTCCCTTGTGATTGTCACAAGACTTTTGTCCTTTCTTATAAATTGGGACAATCAAGGATTTAGACCACTCGGATGGGATTACGTCCAGTTCCCAGATTCTACATAATGTCAGTCAACCTAGCTGCTAAAACTGGACCACCATCCTTAAATATCTCAGGGGTAAGCATATCAGGACCCGCAGCTCGCCCTCGCTTCAGATTTCCTAACGCTTTCTCAATTCCATTAAGACTAGGGGGACTTACGTCGATTTGCCATTCAGGATGACTGGAGACAAGTATACGAAAACATGAGATTGGGTGGCATTCCCCTGTAGTGTTTGTTATAACTTAGGGTTAGGAATATAGTTAGTTGTATTTAAGGTTAGGATTGAATTTGGTCTGAAACTAGATTTATGATTGTGATTAGAGGGTTACTGTGTATTTGTGCAGTGTTAAGAACGTTGCAAACTGAAAAGTGCCAATAATTCATGCAAAACTAATATATTCTTTATCAGTCTTTGGATTCATTGATATTTGATCTGTGATTGACCAATACGGGTGAAAGTTGCAAGATTGTTTATTTTTATGACTGATTTTTAGAATAAGTCAAATTTCACGCGACCGAATACAACAATCCATAATAGGATCTGAGAAACATTCGATGAAACCATTTAGATATCTAATATATTATCGTTGTTCAATTATAATTGAATGACCAACCCACGGATAACTTTGCAGGAAAAATGAGAAGCTTGATTCTGACTATTTCATGTGACTGGCCTCATAGTATACTGATATAATTCACAAGAATTAGGCCTAACCCTCAAGTCAGGACCTACAAAAACAGATCTAAAATCGCCTATGAAATTTGATTTATTTTGGTAATGCTGTGCAATAAGCATATTATTTTATTAAACAGAAAACCCTTTTTTGTCTAGTAGTCTTATCTCCAACCAATCGACAGCTTACGTTATTAATTTGGTTACCAATGTCAATGGTCATTACTATATATATCTATTAACTGACATTCTTTCCTTTCATCTTAGTAATAGAAAATCCATTCATTAAAATCCGAATCCATAACATTAATAAATGTAAATATTAGTATTTTTTTTGAAACCATGAATCGATCAATGTTAGACCACCATTAGAAACCTGGAAGCACTGGACGGCCGTTTCGTCCTGTTATGGGACTCCTCAGCAGTGCGCATCCACGACTCCTGCACCCCGCAGGATTCGAACCCAGGAACTTCGGTATTGTGCGCGAACGCCCTAACCGATAGACCACTGAGCCGGTATCTAACGGTGTTAATGTCTAACTTGATCATATTCACGGAGTTGCGCAACCTCATACACAGTCTTCGGTAGTTACTGTCTACACCCGAACAGGTTGAACTTCACTGGTCACGTCTTCCCACTAGAACTCGGAGAAGATTCCTCACGAAGCTAGTCACTAGTGAGCACAGGTAATTTGCATTACGGGGTTGTGAAGATTGTTAAGTTACACATTTTTGAAACCATGAATCGATCAATGTTAGACCACCATTAGAAACCTGGAAGCACTGGACGGCCGTTTCGTCCTGTTATGGGACTCCTCAGCAGTGCGCATCCACGACTCCTGCACCCCGCAGGATTCTAACGGTGGTCTAACATTGATCGATTCATGGTTTCAAAAATGTGTAACTTAACAATCTTCACAACCCCGTAATGCAAATATTAGTATATTTATTTGGAAAAGGCTTGAGTAATTTATTATTGTTGGGATGATCAAGAATACTAAATCAGATGACAAGTATAAAGCTGAAAAAAAAGACAAGCACCCGTGAAATAACAAAACATAGACTTACTTTTTGAAACTTTGACACACTTTACATCCTCTGACACTACTTGTTCGGACATTTAATCAAGCTAATAAACCTTTAAAAAGAAAAAAGGCAGTGTTCTATCAGGACAGTATATGTCATGAGAACACGCCGACCAAGGACGAAGCTTGCGCAACAATTACAATATGTAAATGAAAACAAAAATCAACTGATTGAAGCAATAGCAATTTTCAGGCATAAGGTTTGCACTCACCAGTTGAACCATGTTGAAATGACAGAATGTTCAATGGTAGGAAATAATGTATGCACTAATAAGTATTATAATAGTGTAGTTATATTTTTACCTCCTTATTTTGACAAAACACCAACTCATTTCCCACCGTACATTTGACACTTGTAACAGGTAAACATAGTCCATTCCTCATGCATGAAGCACAAATGAGGAAATCCATTTCTTGGTTATCATGTGTTCCAGAGTAACTATTTACTAAATGACCAACCTCATAGCTTGAAGTGGAAACGCAGTTTAAACAAATTCTGGGAACGAAAATTAAAAAGTTACAAGCTAGTATTCAATTAAATGACTACATTTTTGTTACTTATAGGGTTAAGAATGATCATATAGCCAATGAATATCATACATTAATGATTGGAATGGGTCAGCTCACACATCGGATACTTGGATATGGGCCACAATCTAAGCATAAATGGCAGTGAAACTACCCATTAGCCCAAATAGAATTTGTTAGAGCGGGGTTTGAACTTAGATGAAAGTCTAACAGCTTGACCATTGTTCTATATCAATGTACAAGACTTCCGCACCACACAGCTAACATACAAAATAACCATTAAATTATGTGGAAACAGGGATAGCTGTTAGTGTCACCCTATGCGACTTAAAAATAGCAAGATGTTTAGTGCTAGTGAGACAATGCTCAACGTTAGCACATTTCTTAACTGTTTTCTAAGGAGCCTTAAGAGTGATCTTTTGAAAAGCATTGCAGTAGTAACTTGATATTACAATATGCCCTTAACAGAATCCGAGATTACCATATTCTCTCTGCCTAGTGTCCTGATTCCGTTCGATAATTTATCAGCGCATGGGACCTTATATACATAATAAGCGAGTAGGACTTTACAAGTAACGAGGATATGTATCTTTAAGATTGAACGTAAATGTAGTTAGAAACTCACGAAGTGTTTAGTCTTTGGTTGATTTGCGTCTATCTGAAGGCAGGTTGTGCGCACGGGAACTATGAAGAGCAGTGTGTGAAGATCTGGAAGAGTAAAGTACAAGGGAAATGATTTGGTGACTTAGTAACGGCGTAGAACGCAGACACTTAATAACGACAATAATCCACAAATAACGATAACACAAGTACAAAATTACTACAATGTGACAATTACAACCGGAACTCGATGGTGTAAAGCTACGAATATATCCAGTTTAAATAAGAGTACCCTAAAACACAAACACCACAGTAAAAAAAATACCAGTGTACCATGAATGGGTAACTGCCACAAATACATGGACAAAAGTTTCTTTCAGTTGTATGTTACGAGTCAAAAACTGTACAGACTAATGCAATAGCTGCTAAAGTTCGTGATTAACACTTCTCAACATATTCAAGACAATCAGTATAAACTTATCGTAAAAGAGGAAAAATCTCTGGCGAAAAATCTGTGACCTGACGATTTTTGTATTAAAACGTCAGACATGATTTTTCTATAGAGTTTATCACCTGTGAAACCAGAAATAAGACTTGAAACTGTGAACGGTCCAACTCAAGGTGATCATGCCAGATCGCTTCTCATTGAGTAGTCAAATGGTGGAACATCCTAGCAGAACAAGTTATACCAGTTACGCTGATCAACGTTTTTTTGGTGGAAACTGAGTCCTCTCCGAAACACAAGCCAAAAGTGTTAACACAGGAAAACTGAACTAATGCTATTACTAAGGGAAGGCGCAACTTGGGAATGGCTCTCCAGTATTGTCCAATATTCAATATCGTTGTCACAAGCTCCAATATCCAACTTCCGTTTTATACGAGGTAGTATAAACTAAGTGATTTTTTTAGTCTCGGTTATTATTCTTTCGGCACGACTCCAGGTATTTGTTAGTAAGGCGTTAGGTCTTCCGGATACGGGCATTTATCACGTTACCAGGCCAGACACCAGTTAACTGCAATGTGGAGAATACTAAGGAGAAAATTCTAATGCTAATGAGAAGATTTCTCCACTAAATCAGAAGAAACAACCACAAGTTTTGAAGTCTGTCTTCGTAAGGTTTATTTTTAAACCCTTAAGCCATTTAGTTGCTAGTCTTTGCACTTGATCCAGGAGATTAACATTCCTTTCAAGGGGACGGAATACGGTGACGTCGTTAAACTCTAAGTGTGTGTGTATTTTTTCAACAAAACTGAAAATAATTCTCTGGTAATCGCGCCAAGTAAAGAGTTGCGTTCCAAGTTGCGTCCTCCAAGTAGTTCGGACTGGTGTTTAGGCTTTCTGGGGTTATTAAACCAAGATCGCGCTCTGAGGAGATATTAGGGAGCGGACCTACATTGGCTCATGTGGAGAAGAATGCTCGTAAAGTGACATTTATTTAGTTTTAATCCGTTTTCCATTTCCTATCCCTCAACTGATGTAAGGTCCTGTCAAAGCTAAGTATAATTCTCCTGGCTTCCTGTGGACGTCCAGATCTTTACGTCGGCTGCGTAGATTAGTGCCGCTGAGCTCATTTAATTTGGCAAGTCATTGATGAATATCAGGAAGAGGAGTGAGCCTAAGGTGGTTTCCTGCGAAACCCCTGGCATTGAGACTCGCCAGCCCCCACGAACACTATTCACCTAAATCAGAAACCTCACATTCTCCGGGTAGTTTCTGACCTAAGAAAGAAGCGGATCAGTCAAGTCCATCTTAGAAAACTCTGCGATTGGTAGTACGTGAGTAACTGTGTCAAAAGCTTTTACGAAGTCAAGAAATAGTATGTGATCGGGTATTCTAAGCAAGCTGTCCAGCTGTCCCATGCTATAAGAAGATTTGATGCACGTGTCCTACCTTTCCTAAATCCATGTTGACCGTCTTGGGGGATATTGTTCCTACCCACTAGTTCCCTCATTTACCTATTCCTCAGCCTTTCCACTACCTTGGATAGTATTGGTAGTAATGCGACTGACCTATAACAATCTGGATTATCATTCCATTTTCAGTCAATTGAGGGCTCCTACACATTGTTTCAAGGCTATATAGCGAATATTGTCACATCTCAATGACTTCCATAAGTGCAGTGATTTTAGTTTTCCCAGTGCTGTCAGGAGTAAATCGGATATTCCCTGGGCCTTCATCTGGCACTATGTCTGAGTGGTAATCTGAACTCATGAATATCGGGTTTAACTGATCGGTAAGGTTAGCTTAAAGACCTCAGCCATTTCTAGGCTCGTAAGATGTTCGCGATTTGGGCCTTTAAGAGCACAAACATTCCGGTTCGTGGGTTTACTTTTTGTCACGAACCCAATGAGATAGTTTTGGTTCACCGGCATTTTGGCTTCTGGCTTAATCTATAAGTGCCTACCATCAATTAGAACCTTGGCAATGCATTTTCCTCAATGCCAAGTAAGGAGCACAGTTAGAATCCTTCCGAAAGACCTTCCACTTGTATCACGCTCTGCTTTTCTCTTGCAGCAGGTGTTCAGTGCCTCATTTTACCCAAGTTTTTCTCCTTCTTGGTGTATGGTTTGCTTACTGTTCATTATATGGGACAGTAATTTGAATGATATCTTTGACCGTTTTCCAGTGATTACCTACTTTTACTCCCTACCATTCCCGAGTAAGCTGAGGTGGTAATTTCCAGATCATTCTACTTCAGTGAAACTTATCCATAAAAGTCTCTTGATTTTCCATAAAAATGGTGATTAGATGACATCACCAGGTAAGAGTGACCATTCAGTTGTGGTATCAGATTTCCGCATAATCATCAAAAATGATTTATCAACTCAAGACTGTGGACGCTTGAAGAGCAAACACATACGAAATTGAAGTTTGAAGATTGAAAATTACATGGAGAAATTCTATGCAAAAAATCGCTCTCAAGTGCATAACGATAGCCAACACTTCAGAACACCTCCCTCCTCTGGATATTTGCAGTAGACTTGGTTACCCTACCCAAGAACATGTGAAATCATTAGCTGACGAATATCAACCAGACTTTTGTACATTTACCGCATCAATTCTTGTTATATGAAAACCTGTCTGTACCATGAATCATTTCTCAGCCCATAAGATGATTGTCGTAACGCAACCTTCGTAACTTGCGCCAATTGATCGCTTTGTACATTCCATCTTTGAGAAAACAATGAATCATGTGAAATGTTTCAGTAACTTTATACCGTTTTCAGAAAAAAATATGTTGCTAATCTTAACATTTTGATCTTGCCTGTAAATTGGCATGTCTCTTGTAACATGTTTGTTATTTGAGAATAATTTATTATTATTATTATTACCTCTGTGTGATTACTGCCAAAAATTTTCAACCCAACGGTCAAACTTGGTGGCTTTATCCACGTCGATGGTAGATCTATTTTCGACGATGAATATAGTGTTCATTCGTGCGATACTGGAATAATAAATACAAGCCACCATTTCCCGCCTGAAAAGATAGTGAGCTGATGAAGGTTTGAGTAACCACAACTTCGGTTCATAAGTGAGTCGTGAACCTGGCGTATGACGAAAGACTGGCTTCATTAATCCTATTCGTGTTGTCATACAGAACGACCGGAAGAGTCCTAGTTATAATTGTTAAATTATTTGATGATAAGTTTGCGTCTGATATGTCCTCATATTTTGTGTCTTCCAAAGTGGAGAGTTAATGAGGACACTCTATAAGAGAATTATCAACCAATGGAACTCGCTGACCCAACACGAGACATGTTCAAAAGAAAGCTGAGGAGGGAGCACCATCAAAAACGCAGTGAACTTCACGTTCAGCTGAGATCTTTTAGTAATCAAACAGGAACTAATAATTATCTCTAATAGCTTCAGGAAACGGAAGGCTTATTTTGAGAGCACTATATTGAGAACAGTTATGTTCAATGTTTATCAATTTATTTATCTCTATTTATATAGGTATATACTGCTCTCAGACAATTACGCAAGCATCGTGCCGCTAGGAAGTAAATATTATATTCTTTGTTATCATGATGAGATATGATAACATTTAGACTTAGAACTGGCTGTTATCATGAGTTCAAATATGTAGACGTTTCACTTTCCTGAAATAGACAAAACGGGTCGGACATGCCTAAACGAATCATTTAGATCAACCATGGTATTCATCGAATGAGGAGCACGATGAAATGGTGCTGCATAAAAACAAAACAAAAACTGATTATTGGAGAACAATTTTATGAAGTGAGGCATGGAATTCATTCTTCTCCTGAGCCCGAGGTCTGCCCAACATTTACCACTAAGCTTAAAACAGAACGATAAGTTATACAGATTATCAATCTCTAGAATGTTCCGTGGCTACCTACATTCATAACACTTAACTAGATATGAATAGGTCTTTAACAGACCTACTTCATAGAAAATTTCGCCAAGCACAACCAAGCTGTAAAGTACACCGAATAAGACAAAAAAATTAGACGATACTGTTAGGAACGATTTTGTTGGTTTCCAGGCAATCTGTCTCGCCTATTATCTCTGTTTCCACAAACTTGCTTACACTCCGGTCCTCTTGCACAATCTTCAAAACCAACTAATAAACTAAATTATCCATTTATTTACTCAGTTCTGAAATCTTCTTATAAGCATTAATCTTTTCTCATTATTATCCTCCATAGTGAAAGCAAGTGATCTTCGACTTGATAACGTGATAACTTCTGGTAGCCAGAAAACCTTAATTTCCTGAACCAAACGTACTTACTCAAATCACAGAACATTCAAACTTACATACAACTGCCAACTTACCAAAATTAGGCAGTTGAGTGGCTAGACTCCCATCGACTGAACAATACTGAACCCGTGAAGCCGTACCGAAAGAACAAAAAACGAGTGCAAAGAAATTAATTGTTTTATACTAGCTCCTTAAAAAGATATTAGAGAAGTCATACTCGCAATGGATCTTAGGCAATGCAATTCAGAATGACCACCATCTATCTAGCCTATTATCTCTGTTCCCTTTCCCTTGCTTACACTTCGGTCCTCTCTCACAATCTTCACTACCAATTAATAAACTGAATCATCTATATATTACTTAGTTCTGAAATTTTATTCATATTAGCATTAGAATTCTATCCTTATTATTCTCCGCATTGCAACTAACTGATCTCCAGTCTGATACTGTGATAGCTGCTGGTATTCAGAAACCCTACTGCCCTGAAACAAACGTTTCATTCAAATCCCGAGACACAAACTCACAACCAACTGCCAACTGACTAGAACTAGACAGTCGAGTGGCTAGACCCCCATTCATTGGACACTGCCGAAAACCTGGCACCGTACTGAAAGAACAAGAATCGAGCACAAAGAAACCAACTGTTTTATACTTGCTCGTGAAAAAGATATTGGATATTGGAAGCAAGTTAGTCAAGGTTGTGTACAAACGTGTGGACGGGTTTGAAACTGAATTCGTCCTCCTCTTTCAACCCGAGCAAAATTTTGTCTTATGACTTTCTACTTTAACAACCCATAGTGAAAATATCTGAATTTCCAATTTCTTCACTGATAACCGTTAACATTTTCCTCCATCAGACGTAAGTAAAGCAACAAATGATACGGTATATCTATTTCTATCATCATTAAAAATAATGAAGGATATAAAAGCGAACTTTTGGGAAATACAAATTAACTTGGTCAAGAAAAGTTGGTATAAATTCAAGCGTCATTGCAACTGAATTTCGCCTTCACCTAGGCTGGTGAAATGATGAGACATTTCGCCTAATTGTCTCACAAGAGGCGAGACGTGTGGATTCACACTTTCATGGTTGCCTAACACTATTTTTCGCCTTGATCCACTTCTTTCTCTTATAGCCATGAAGTTCGCTTTTAGTTCCCTAAAAAATAGGCACTAGTGAGAATAATTATCACAATGAAAAAATTGTTGTAACTATTAATGACGGAAACAACGTAAAAATAAGTTTAAGTGACCGATTGATCTTCGTTGTAACTGGTGAGCTCTATCGTAGGCGTTTGACCTCTGAAAAAGAAAACCTATTAGTTTATGATCGGTCTCAGCCCAGCGAACGAAAGTTTTGAAGACGTACGCTACATAATAAATTTATTCAAAAATATAAGATAAGTAATACATTTACCGCTTCATTAAACAGTTGTCCGTTAGTCTCAGTCCTGTTCATGATTGAATGTACTCTGAAATATTATAAACGAATACAGTTATGGCGAGGTATAATACAGAATACAAAATTATTATAGGCCTAACTCATAGTTGTGTTGCACGGAATACCCCAGTGTGCCATAGACTTTCAGTTAATAGTGAGAATGTGGATTTTAGTGTTAAGGCACCTAGAAGACTAATCAAAATAGTACATCATTGCTTCATATGCTTCTTTAGAGTCGAAGTGAAGTTCTGGACTAAATGTATACTAAAATGTATCTAAGAGATGATTTTGGCTTGTTTCCCGTAAAATTGTTCACCTTGCACATTTGAAACGTGAATTACTTATCCAATGAACTGGTGAATTTGCGAATCTATCCCTGAAATTTTATAGAAAGCAGGTTTTTAGGGTATCCAACTCTTCCTCTATTGACGGAGGATATTGAGATTCCGACAGATTAGAAGTACTGTTTGATGTTGGCTAAAGTGCTACGTTATTAACAACGCGTACTTGTTTAACATCTATAGACAAATGTGAGAGTGCTTTAACAATCTTTTGCAAGGTAGTACATACTTTCGACAAGCTATCAGAATTTAAAAAAAAACCCATACTACTTGCTCTCTCGTATAACCGCTGGTTGTTATTGATGTAGAAGAAAACTGGTGCACGTGTGTCATAGTTGAACTTGTCTATATATTCATAATGGAGGGACATTTACATAGCTACCTGAAAAAAAGACGTTTTGGTTGACTGAAACTTCGGGTAGTTGACATTACTGCATCCAGTCTGCATTTCAACTACGTACAAGTCCATATGATGGTATAAGTAGCTGTTTATACGTGTTTTAGGTTCGCTACAAAATATACGCAGGCTTAACAATGCTTAAGGGCATTGTGTTTTCGTCGTTTCTGCTTCATGCGTTCGCATAAATGATACCTCTCACAAAAGACAAGAAGTCTTTAGCTGCATAGAAATCGTCTACCGTAACTTCAATCACTTTTATTGTATCTCCCCAGTGTAGTGCAACACTGCATTTTATAACAGATCATCCATCCATTACACTAACTTCACTTAGTTTGTCAATGTCAGTAATATAGTTGCAAAATATGCAGTGCTTATTTTTTTAACATCCATTTAGCAGCAATTATGATTAATTGCTTCTGCAACGTAGCCTCAACGACAGCAAACTATTTAGCTTGATGCTAAAAATATTTCAATTTAATGGAATTAGATTCAAGTCCAAAAGCATCGGTGTATTACTACAAAAAGGTATCGTTACATAAATGTGTGGAGTAACAGAATTACCACCTCGTAATTAGCATCTTCTATAGACATGTATTTACAAATAACATCAACTCTAGATATCCACACGTGCTGATGATTAACTACCGATTACATGAAAATACTTATATCACTGGATGAAAAAGGTTCTAACAGGAATTCGGAGGGGTCAGCGTTAGGAATGAACTTAACTAGTGTACTTACGCTGACATCTGTAATAATTACGGTCGTCCTCGAACTATGACTACATTTTCAGACCTAGCAGATGCTATCCTAGTACTTCTACTTGTAATAAATTTTTTTGGCATCAAAGGAAACATCTGTGGTAGATAAACATTATTTTGAAGCCTACTACTAAGCGATATTCTCTCACCATAACTCTGGACGGTCATTGTAGCTTCTGCGTTTCCACTGTGAACCGTATGCTTTACGCGATAAACTGTTCGACTTCAGTGCTAGGCTTTCTCATACTATTTCTGAACTAAGTCAATTAGAAACTGTAAGTCTTTCTAGCGATAAGTTCAATCATTTTATAACTGTCAAACGTTTTGCCATTATACGTGAATCCCCAGCTCTTCCAGATGTCAAGTATGCTGTTGGTCACAATGGCGTCGAAAGTTGTGATAGGTATGTAGTAGGGGAAAGCTATCTTGATGAAAGGATGACTTTCAGGGATGGTTTCTTCGCTGACAACAATGTAAACAATTGATATTGGCTTGAACCAACTCTATACTATACTATATACACTAACAGTGATAACCTTGTTATTTAGTCGTTTGTTTTTCACAGTTTTGTTATTTTAGCATTAAGGAATCTTTGTTCTGTCTGTTGGTCTCTGGAAAATAATTTCGTAATAAGTCCATACTGTCCTGCCAGATATGAAACTCACCAGCTTTCCACCGTCTTCGGGAGTCGCTGTTCAGGTGAGATCGCAAATTTCTTTTCTAGTCATCACTTCATAAATAGACAGCGAATTTCCTGTCTTTTCTATACACAGAATTCATCATAGACATTATTCGAAGTAAAGGTTGGTATGTTTGTTGGTTTGCTATCCAAAGGACAAGTCTATTATGCAGCAATTTTCGCCGTCCTACTCTATGGATGCGAAACATGGCCGGTAAGAGTAGAAGATACTCGTAGGTTATTAGTATTGGATCATAAATGTATTCCAAGCATTGCTCGTTTATCCTGGGACAACCGAGTAAGCAACGCTGTCGTTAGGAAACGATTACTAGGTAGGGATGGCAAATCAATAGATAAGGTATTGAGACTCCATCAGTTGAGGTGGTTGGGACGTATATTACGTATGCCCAGCTGCCGACTGCCTCGATGAGCGATGTTTTGTTGTGTAGGAATAGGTTGGACGAAAGTTAGGGGCAGCCAGACCAAAATATAGCAGAAATCCATCAAGTCACTGACAAGTGGACTGAGTCATTCTGGTAGGTGTCGACTACCTGTTTGGGGTCCGCGAGATGATAGTAATCGACGGTTAGAGACTCTGAATGACATGGCTCAAAACTGTTTGCCATGGTGCAGGTGCATCCACTCTTTGTGGTCTCTGAAATTCTAATCCTCTGAATTCGTCATCACCTCTTTCTCTCCATAAAGTTGTCTCACTGAATTATGCTTCTCGAATAATATCTTCGAACCCTAAACTTCTTCATTACCACTAATACTTCTACTATCTCTACCACTCTGGCATTTGAAGTTACACTTGCGTCTCTGTGCTAATGTGGTATGGCAACTTGAACTGATGTATTCACGTACGAAGTTCTACCTTGTAACTGACTGACTGTTTGCGGATTTAATCCCTGATTTTCGATAATGTGATGAGAAAAAGGAGGTTATCAGAACTATATGATATATTTGCACGTTAAGTTTCAAACAGTCTGACCCTACATATACTCGTTAAGACATGAATAGGATAGGGTAATATAGACTTGTTTTTGGTGTCGAAAACCTAGTAGGTTGCTACCTAGTATGTTGCTACCTTTCTGACTGTTCATAAAATTCAATGAATGACCGTTATTCCTGAATATCTCAGTTTAGAGCTGTACGTTTCCCTCCCGCTAGTGAAAATGTGATTGGTCCTATTGAGAAAGCTGTTTATTTATCCACGTTTGTACTGGACTGGAAAATAGCCATTATCAATGCAAAACATTTAATGAAACCATCATCTTTTATACTAATTAGTATACCTAGAAAAGGGATTTGGTTACTGTTTAGTCGACCGTTTATTTTTCATACATAATATCTTAACAAATGTATGTGTGATCAGATTATTCGAAATATGAAGCGCAAATATGTCGCATAATCCTGATAACCTCTGTCTTCTCATCACATTATTGGGATTTATCATATGAATTTTTGAAAAGGCTCCCTACACACTATTAGACGATAGAATGAAGTCAGTCAGTAAGTTACAACGCAGAACTTCGTACGTACATACATCAATTCAAGTAGCCATACCACAATAACACAGAGATGTAATTGTTGATTCAAATCTCATAGTGGTGAAGATAGTAGAAATATGTGCAGTAATCCTAAAGATCACTGTTCGAAGATATTCAAGAAGTATAATCCAGTGAGATAGATTTGAGACGAGAAACATGAAGGTAATGAGGATTCTAGGTCCGAATTTGGGAGAAAACAAAGTGCACCATATTTGTTTAGAAAATATTTTCACAATTACTCAAACAAATGACTTTTTGGTGTTGAGAACGTTTCTATAAAAACGACTTTATAATTTTTCATTTTTTGTTCACTCAGCCAAATGTACGGTGTTTAATCGGATTGTATGGATCTCTTAAGGATTCCAGTTTTGAAAACCTCAATCGACTAGTAGAAGAAGATCAAGATGAACAAGAGATTTTGCGATATGCGATAAGTCACGAAGAGTCTGATGAGGTTCGGTTTTTAGTTGGATCTCAGTCTTTGAAGCCACAAGGTAGTCAGGCAAGTTTTACATCTCCTAAAAGAGTTATTTGAAATATATACGTCAAATGTCTTGCTATATATATATATATATATATATATATATATATATATATATATATATAACAAAAGATCAAAATTCCTGTAATAGAGTAAATTACCGGAAACAATTTTGATTAGTAGATACAGCTTAATCGAAAACCAGACAAGACAAATGCTCATTTGACGAGGTTAATCGTATGCTTATAAGAAGTATGATGCAAATCTTCAGCATTATCCCTACATACTTCTATTCCTAAGCGTGCACTAATTGATTGAACCCTCATTAACCTTCGTTTATGTGCAGTTTGGCTAGAAGTGCCACCTTAATGAAAATAAATTGATGTGCGAGACTCTTTTTGTATTTTTCACCTGTGTGCTGACATCGCAGTTTAGATGCGATCAATGATAAGTACTAACAACAACTAAATGGTCTCAATAAAGGGCTTTTAGCAGATATTATGATGCTATCCGGTGGTTTGAATATGCAAGCTGAGCATTTAGACACAGAGTAGAGTCGCTTGGGTGGTCAGTGAATACTTGATGATTCTCAGATCTAATAACAATGTCCATACCCCGCAGCTTTTTGTCGACCAAATTCTGACACAGTCATCGCCGATGTGCCACTTGGTATCCTCCCTACTGGAACTCAAATCTTAGACTCAGATTGATTACATCGTAATCGACTGCTACTGGCGTGGTTACGTAAAAGACTCCTTTTGGAGTACCTATCTGAACTTTGATCTCGGATTTCAGTCGGCAGACAGATTGATATAAGAAATTCACCTATTTCAGTTTCGGTATCCCTACTATTTCAGCCCCCAGTCAAATAACGATGGTGATTACAAGGGACAATAACGAACCGCTCTCCTCTCTAACCATACTGTATTATGCACAGATTTGATTTATCTTACTCTAACTCTCAGTTTCATTTTATTTCCTTATTTTATGTACTTGTTGATTCTCATGTTATTGTTTAACTTACTCAGTAGCTCATCTCTGTTGAGAACTCCGTCCCATCTAAGTGGTCTTCATTTTTTGAATGTTTACTGAATACTGGCGCCGAACTGGACATCACTGAGATAAATGTAGTCCAATCTAAAAACATATCGCTTTCTACGTTACAGTAACATTTTGGTATTAACGTAATCGTAATCGTAAGTAGCATCAGTCATCTGTCCTAGTACCCAGTTACTGAAGAAACATTTGTGTTCACCGTATTTGCTTTCTATGAAGGTTTAATTCCGAAGAATGTTTAACAATGGTTCAATTTTCCGCCTATTTACTCTCTAAGTGTTCCTCTTCATACTGAATAGAGTACATCGTATTCAGTCAACCTATCTCATTTAATATTAAATAATCAATTTTTTTTGATTACTTTTGTTTTCTTTCCACATTCTATTCATAGATCACTTTAGTAACACTTGTGGAGTCATTAGATATTGATTTGAAGAAACAGACTTTTGCACATCCAAATGGAGAGGTTACTTCATTAGTCGCATTAGCATCTAAACCAGATTGCTTTATATCATTATCTGCGTCATGTAAGTTTTGTTAACGTTATAAAATTTCAATGAGACTAAAACTTATGGACGACCTTTGAACGATGCCAAAATGACCCTTAGAATATTCACCTACTTACTAGGGTTAAAGGAGGTTTGTAAATCAGTGTGAAAAATCAGTAATAGGATTACCAGCTGGATGTAATCATTTGGAGTTGGATTTGGGAATTTCAATCTCAAACTGACATTAGGTATAATGCCAAAATTTAATTTAACAATAAGGATGTATAAATCTTATGCTAAAATCCAAGACTTGTTATCTCAAATGTGGTCAGTGTGTCCGAAGTTGAAATTTCTTATGTGAATATTTGTTTTGGAAAAAATTTGTTGTACGCAAGTGGTTGTCACAGTAATGCTTATACTCTTAATTTAAACAAAAAAGATTGGTATATGTTTTTCGGTATACTGGAAAACGAGACGTAAGTCACCAATGGTTGGAGACCTTGAACGACATGGCTCAAAATCGTTTGCAATGACGCAAGTACATCCACTCTTTGTGTTCTCTCAAATTCTAACCTTCTGAATTCCTCATCATCTCTTTCTTTCTCTTTCTAAATTTATCTTACTGTCGAATCATATCCTCGAACCCTAATCTTCTCCATTACTGCTAATACTTTATCTCTATTACTATGTGATTTGAACTGACAGTTACGTCTCTGTGCTAATGTGGTATGGCAACCTGAACTGATGTACTTACATACGAAATTCTGCGTTGTATCTGTCTGTTTGTCTTTCTAAAACTCATAGATTCACCTGCATCCCATTGTTAACACTCAATACATCTGTTTATGTTAATTTCACTTGTTCATAACTTTATCTTGTTTGATGCAATGTCTGCTAACCGGATGTTCGCTAAATGAAGGCAATTTAATTAAAAATGATAGATATTCACTGAAATATTCGAGTAAAGTTTTAAGGGTTTCATTGCCCATTTAAAAGAAACATATTAATTAGAACAAAACTAAACATATAGAACCGAATCACTAGACCAAACAATTCAGGTAACCATTTTTTAAATTATATATATACATATATATCACTATCTTAAGAATATTCTACCTAATTTGTCTTATTCACATTACACATAGATTCAAGCGAACGACCAGAACTTCGTCATAGTGCTCGACTATGGAGAATACCTGATCTTAATGAAAATTTATTGGACGATGCAAAAATCGATTCAAATTTATCAAAATCACCAGTAGATTACAATAATTCATCTACATTGAATAATTCATTGGATTATGTAACTACACTACCATTGGATAAATATTATAGCATTAAAAGGTGTGGATATTTTCTTTCTGTTATGTATGAAGTAGAAAAATGTCGATTTTTATACTATTAAACATATGCATTCGTTTTCATGAAATTGTGATTCCGAATTAATTATTTACCTCTATCTATCTTATATTGGAAATTATAAAAAAATTTCTGGGAATATTTAAATTGAATCATTGAGAAAATAGGTGAAACTAACGCCTGTCTATTTGGTGCTACTTATTGATGAGTAAAATATCCAGTGTACAAGTTATACAATTAAAATTTATCAGTAGTATTCTTCGTAAATTGTTCGTTGAATAAAACTTACATTTTCATCTTTATATAATCTGGGAATTAATTTTTACTATCTACTTCTGTAAATGATGAGCAGTAGCTAGCAGTGGAATTTAGTATACCTGTCTCTTCGTCGAATGGATATATACCTGCATCCCGGTGTTGATGTTCACACTGGAACTTGAACTGCTTACTTCAAATGCTTAACACTTTGCTGAATGAGCTACTGAGTCCAGCTAGCCACTGGTTTGTGCAACGGGGATGAATTTTACTACTTACCTTTAAGCATTTGAATCTTCTTGTTGTCAGTGTTAAGGATTGAATTTCGATCATTCTCTTTTTTAGATGTGTGCATCCTGAACAGGTTACCTTGATACTGTCATAATTATATACGCCAAAAGAGAGTGATCAAACTTCATTCCTTGACACTGACAAACAATATCCATTTATCCGTTTTGGATTGATTTTCATTACTTGACTTTTATTTCATTGAGACCGATACACTAACGATTATCTAAGTGTTACAGTTTCTCATACTAGTTATGACCTATAAATCAACAAGATTGACTTTAATAATATTCAGCTAAGTATCATACAAATGTAACTGCATAGACTATGTATTTTCAACTACCCTACGATCTATGACCACATTCCAACTGACGATCTTCAGATCCTACAGTTTGTTCAACCTGTTATTAAACAATCCACTTTTCAGCAAATCTTTTAATATCTATATAACATCGATAGTTTAATAATAGTTTGTTCTTCTGAATACGGCATAATAATGTGACAATAGTTCCTGCAGTAAATTTTGAATATAATTCGATATTTATCATAACGCCAAATTCATAACCCTTCAGAGTAGCTTTATATTATCTCCTTGATTCTCATCCTTTATTTATTTCTAAGACAGTAGAATGCTCAAGATTTCTGAAATAGTCATCCATTCTCTTTACATTGGTATTAGATTAGTGAAGGAATTATCCCTTGTCTGTCTACCAGCCTATTGAACACATCACCATTTTATAATCAGTGACTGGAACTTAATTGGTGGCTACCACTTAAGTTCAAAATGATTATTTTTTCTCATGATTACAAAAATTCACTACCAAGCATTATTTTAGTCTGGCAGCTGACGCAACAGTTTTGTAATGCTTCAAAATGTTTTTAGTCTACTTGTATACAAAGTTTTTGACTAGTTCCTTTTTTTTAATTTATAGGATTACATCACATCCATCGAGTACATGCTCTGATTTAGCGTGTGTTGTCGGACCACCTATTGAAATGCCTGGGTAAGTAACGATCGTTTTATGCATTTGATGTATTTTATTTTGTCATTATTGGCTCGTATACCGTGGGACAACCGAATAAGCAATACTGTCGTTAGGAAACGAGTTTTAGGTAAGAATGGCAGACCAATAGATGAAGTAATGAGACTTCATCAGTTGAGGTGGTTGCGACATGTGTTACGTATGGCTGACCACCGACTGCCTCGACGAGCTATGTTTTGTGGTGTAGGAATAGGTTGGAAGAAAGCTAGGGGCGGCCAGACCAAAACATGGCAGAAATGCATGAAGTCACTGACAAATGGACTGAGTCATGTTGGTAGATGTAGACTACCTGGTTGGGGTCCGCGAGACGTAAGTCACCAATGGTTAGAGACCTTGAACGACATGGCTCAAAATCGTTTGCAATGGCGCAAGTGCATTCATTCGTTGAGCTCTCTCAAATCCTAATCTTCTGGATTCGTCAGCACCTCTACCTTTGTCTTTCTAACCTTATTTCACTTAATTATACTCCTTGAATAATATCTTCGAACCCTAGTCTTCTTCATTACCATTAATACCTCTACTATCTTTATCACTATGGGATTTGATTTGACATTTGCGTCTCTGTGCTAATGTGGTATGGCAACATGAACTTATGTACATACGTACGAAGTTCTACGTTGCAACTGACTGACGGACATTGTTGGCTATATGAACTGTTTATATCAATTTAGTTCCCTATATCTGTTCTAGACTAGTTGATAATCATACGACATCACAAACGGAATGAAGTTCGAAATGAAAATCGTTGGATATATCAACTCAGTTATCCAATGATAATATGATCACTGCAAAGTTTGATGATTCCATGTTTCTTTTACATTCCCAAGTCATATATGCAACTCTGAATGTGTCTCATATTAAAACTAAACAGCTAGTTATCCAGTGCCACCACTAGTTTTCCATAATTATTTAACTAAAGCTATTCCATGATATAAACTGCTTTTAAATTATACAATCTTTACAAAATTATTCTAATCTGTTGTTTTATTTTATTCTACATATTTCTTTCAATAATATTAACAGTTCAGGTGCTTATTCTTCTCTTATGACTACTACTACAACAACAAGTTATTTAGTTATACTTCAAGCTCCATCAAATTCAAATTCTGGTGATTATCAAATTAGTACAAGTGTTCAATTATATTTACCACCTTCATCTCCTAGTGATGGTTTACGTACAAATATGAAATCATCCACTGGTTGTTTATCAGCTACTGCATCACCTAATTCTATTCGATGGTCTCCACATGAACATTTAAATCAACTTGCTATAGCTTTTGATAATGGTATATTAGGTTGGGATGTTCGATCGATGAAGTAAGTTAGTCAGTCTCATTAATAACTATTAACAATCCATTATTACCTTATTTAATTTAAATATGCTTAGCGGAGAATTTGACAAGTAGAGTTAATTAGGTTAGTGATGCATAAAACGACGTCACTCAATAAACGCTGACCAGTGCGCGAAAAATATAGACTATGGTCTACATTCTACAGTTAGTTGTCCAAATCTTCAAAATTGAATTGATTATGAAACTTGTAATTCAAGTGTATTATTATATGCGGATCGGGAACATACTTAAGTCTCAGTCAAGCCCTGTATTTTGTTGCTTAAAATGTCCGACTTTGGGACGATGCATGTTAGTGAATAATTTAAGGTAAAATCATTGATCGAATCATGTTTATGTGAACAAGCAGTTAGTAGTCTTTTTTATAATGAAAATAATATATCATTGTTTCTTATAAAAGGCCTTGTTTCTGGATGGAAAATGCCCACTGGCCGTGTGTTAGAGATATTGATTACAATCCTCATCGCCCTAACTTGTTAGTATCTGGTGGAGACGATGGAATCATGAGACTTTGGGATCTTCGTTATTTACGCACAAGATATCGCTGTCTATCTAATGCTGCTTCTGTAACAACAACAAATACACCTATTTCAAATGCATCTGAAAAACTTATGCAACACGGCACGGAACCAACTGTTCAACCTTTGTTTGCAATTGCATCTCATTCTCATTGGGTTAGTTTTTTCTATGTTCTATTCCTAACACATACTTCAAAGCCAAGTTAATAATGTGTATTTTATTTTACTGACAGTTTATAACATTCATTAGCTTTCAGAGTTTAGTTCGTACTGGAAGCTTTTAATGATAAACTTGTCAGTCCCGTACCAGCATTTACGAACACTGCAACTTAATCCAAAGAAAGAAAGGTAAAGGTATACTATACTGATTACCTCGGGCAGCTTATCAATCAAATCAGGAAACAATTAGTAATAAAAAGCAGTGCTTCCAGGTTTCTAATGGTTGTCTGACATTGATTGATTCATGATTATTATATTTTATAATGATTAGACCTTCACAATCATCCTATACATAAATTATTTTGATTGGAGAACCATGGCTAGGTCTTTACAACCGTGTACGGGATGATTCCACATCAGTTCACATGCCTGATCTTATGCAGAACTGAAGTCAGCGCTTTTTGATTTCGTTTTAACGACTTAGCTATGTTGTTAATATAGGATGACGCACATTTTATACATGTCTGATATGCCATCGTTCACTTGCTTTTACAATCAACTACCGCTTGTAATATTTATTGGTAATGGGGGTTATCGTAATTTAAGACAAATTTCATTATAATTATTTTTCGACCTATCAATTCGATTATTTATTTCAATTATGATGAAGTATTTGTTCATTTATTCATTCTCTCAGCATAGTGAAGTATTTTGAACATTTGTGTTAACAAACCTAAAATAGTAGTTTATCCTTTACATCTTACAGATTTGGTCAGTACGCTATCACCCCACACGAGACCAACTTGTTCTCTCTTCAGGAAGTGATGGTCGTGTTTGTTTATACAATTTACCTAGTTATTCATCTGATGCTCTTCTTAATAATGACATGAATCAACAGTCAACTAATGGTCATAATCAAATAGAATATCAAGATGAACCTGACAACCATTCATCTTGTTCTCATGAAGATGAAGCTTACAGGTTAGTAGTTATAATTTGTCGTGGACATACTTTTGTCTGCGTCTCGTTGGTTTGGATCAACGCCTGAACTAATGATAGGGAGCACAGTAGTCTAGCGCACTAACCACTTTATTTCAGGAGTCTTATTAGTCATGATGGTTTGACGAAATAATCGCACTGATTCAAGGAGCTCGGTTGACTTTTTAACCTGTGTCGTAGGCAATATGCCTGTCTGCCAACAAAATGACAGTTTTATTGTTCAACAATCCTCTTTGTCCTACTTTATAGGCGTCAAACGAGGTCATACATACAGCGCTAGTGTTCAGTCATAGGCGCTTATCTGTATGTTGGGACCACCGAGTGAGCAATGCTGAGGTTAGGCGTGGAGGACAAGATAAAGATGGAAAGTGAATATTAGCCGATTGAGGTAGCTGGAACATGTGTTACGTATACTTAACCGTGTTCTACCTCAACTACAAATGTCTGGTGTAGAATTATGTAGGAAGAAAGCTTCGGCGTCTTAGCCAGGATCTAGTGTCTGTTCATAGTCATTTATTGTTTTGATGAACCCTGTTGGTAGGTACAGAATATCTCGTTCGAGTTTTCGTGATCATCATAATTAAATATTGATATATAACATGGCCCAAAGTCGGTCGCAATAGAACAAATGCATTCACTGTTTGTCTTCCCTTGGATAGAGTTTTAAAACTGTCTCGTACTTTCCACGAATTCATTATTGTCGAATCATATCATATCGTCTGTGCTTCTACTGATTATGTTACCTCTTCAACTACTCAGCCATTTATTTTGGTAATTTGACCCTACCTTTCAATATGGGATGGCAATCTGAACCAGTGCATATATTTGCCGATTTCAGCATTCCCTATGAGTGAATAGAGAAATGTCCTACCTATGCAAGGGCTGCATTTCTACAGTTGAAAAATATCTGGAACTCCAAACAACTTTCAATCAAAACCAAAATCAGGATATTCAATACAAATGTCAGTTCTACTGTATGGAGCGGAAACATGGAGAACTACCAAAGCCATCATCCAGAAGATACAAGTGTTTATTAACAGTTGTATACGCAAAATACTTCGGATTCGTTGGCCAGACACCATCAGCAACAACGAACTGTGGGAGAGAACAAGTCGGATTCCAGTGGAGGAGGAAATCAGGAAGCGGTGGAAGTGGATATGACACACTACGAAAAGCACCTAACTGCGTCACGAGACAAGCCCTCACATGGAACCCTCAAGGCAAAAGGAAAAGAGGAAGGCCAAAGAATACATTACGCCGAGAAATAGAGAAAGATATGAGAGGAATGAACAAACATTGGACAGAGCTGGAAAGGGAAGCCCAGGACAGAGTTGGTTGGAGAAGACTGGTGGGCGGCCTTTGCTCCATTGGGGGTAACAGGCGTAAGTAAGTAAGTAATGCATTGTTTACTTTAATTCCCAAGGCATATATTAAAACGTCAAAAAATTGATGCCACTTAAGAAAATCATATGTATGGTACTGCAGTGTTGCTTTTAGTGACGTTTAGAATAATACACTAGTTATTTATCATATTATAACCGATTTTACATGACCAAGTTAACACGTAAAACATATACAGTTCTGTATTATGATATTACATAACTTATTGGTAAAAATCTAAACATGAACTCGATAGAATGCCGTTAGTACTGAGAGCTAAACAGGACAGCACTGTTTATCTTGTCTCTCCATTACCGTAAACTTTATGAAAGCCAGTTCTGCGTTGGAGTAAAACTATCACCTAGATCTGATATTTTAATTCAATTAACAAGGGAGAAAAGATTTCGCTTATAAGGTGAAACCTTACAATTATCATAATCATCCCTCTTTCAATGATATCATGTCATGTAAGTGTACTTCAACTGTAGTGTCTTTGATTTACTTTCCGTAAGGTAAAATGAAGTAAAATCTAAAACACAAGCATTTCCAAGAATAACCTTTTTCTCACTTGACTGTACATATTTTTATTTCTTATTCTATACAGCAATGAAGACGGTCTAATTGCTCGTTTAGAACAACATGAAGAAAGTGTATATGCAGCTGAATGGAGTCCAGTTGATGCATGGTATTTTGCATCAATTAGTTATGATGGCAATTTCCTCTTAAATCGTGTTCCCGATCAAATTAAATTGAATATTTTGTTACAATCCAATGACTATTGAATTATTTCTTGTAATTGTTCTCTCTGTATCCTGTTGGATTGCCCTTTTAATCATTGATGCATTTCTTTTTCTCTTTTGATACTGCTACTTATAACACGAATTTAATTTGGCTGTGATAATTAATCTAATCAATCTTTTGTATCAGTTTCACTAAATAATATAAACATGGATACTTATTGACGAATAGCTAGTTTGTTTTTTCTATCATTATTTAATAGAAAAGCTACAAGTCAAGGAAGAATGTGAAAGTGTTCATGTTTTTCATGATCCTTTTTTCTTTTTTAGAATAGACGACAAAGACTATATATGGGTTTGTAGTTTATTTACATTTGCACATTAAAAGGACAGAGTGAAATTCTCATTGCGTTTGTTTTCTGATTAAACTTGTCAAAATCGATTATAATTGGCAAAGAAAATATTTGAATAGTTGATATGCTGTATACCATCCATAAGTTTACTTTACATTTTCGTCGTACAAACACATCGTATTGTTAGTAGAAAAATACAAATTTTATATGATACATTTTCTCTCTATACATTTATTTATTTGTTCAAAAAAAAATTACAGAAATGCATTGCAAAGTTATCTGGTTTGTGATAATATCAACAAAAATATTTCTGACAAAATATTAATAAGCACCAAAGAATACACCAATGAAGAAAATGAATTAATTCCTTGTCTGATAAGTATTCATGTTGCATTGTCACTATTACTACTACCATTGGAATTATTATCAGTATTAAAAGTTGTTACAGAATTGTCAAATGTAGAAATAGTCGCCGGGCCGATTGATTCAATTGGACGTATCTTTTTAATGCGACCACCACGAGACTGAAAAATAAATACGTAATATCAAATAAATAATTACATTATGTACGGAACATTTTTGTAGATGTAGGAATAGGTTGGAGGAAAGATAGGGACGGCCAGACCAAAACATGGCACAAATCCATGAAGTCACTGACAAGTAGACTGAGTCATGTCCGTAGGTGTCGACTACCTGATTGGGGTCCGCGAGATGATAATAATCGATGGTTAAGGACGTTGAATGACAAGGCTCAAAACCGTTAGCCATGGCGCAGGTGCATCCATTCTTTGTGTTCTCCTTCATTTCTCTTTAAGTTTATTTCACTAGATTCTACTTCTTCAATAATATCGTCGAACCCTAATCTCTCCGATTACTGCTAATACTTCTACTACTATGGGCTTTGAATCGAAAACTACATCTCTGTGATAATGTGGTATGGCAACACGAACTAATGTACATACGTACATACGAAGTTCTATGTTGCTATTGATTGATTGATTGTATTAAGAATCGATAACTATTCCATTTTAGACTACTAATGACAGGAAATTTGAATTTCTTTTCTCTGAAGTTGGCGGGCATCTGTAAAATTATTCCAAATGAGTGTGCTCATTATCATGGAACTGTTTTGCATATTGACTTAGTGCTGATTTCAAATTAAAAAAAGAAGAAACTATCACATTCCTATTACAAAAATTTATCAATCGAGAGCAACGAGAAATATTGCGAAAAAACTAGTAGAAATCAGTAATAAATTTGAACTATTCCAGCTGTCTACTTCAAAACAAATTATTACACAATAAACTTGTTGGAGAAACAAAATTGTGATGGAAAATAGCTCACTTGTTCTGCCCAAGCTGCTTGACGTTTTCGTCCAAGCAAATCTTCGTCTACAACACCGGTATCTGATGCACGTTGAGTACTTGATTTTATGGAATTAATACCATTTGATAATTGTTCATTCACACACATCTCAATGTCTGTATTCGAAAGATTAGCTATGGTTTCAGAGGTCATTAATCGTTTGGATGCCTGATTTTTAGCTGGACGACCACGTTGAGGTTGTAATCGTCTGCGTATCTGAAGTCTAAATTAAAGAGAAAAACAAATGCATCAACAACACGATCGATCAATAATCTTATAATATGAAAATGGTCAACAGTATGGTAATTGAGTTCTAATGAGATATAGTTAACCTATATGGACAACACTTCTTGTCAAATAATTTTAACAAATGATCATATATTATTACATTTTAACAAGTAAACGCCAAATAGTTAACAGACAGTATACAGTTACATCTGAAAGGAAAGGTGAAAGTTATATAAAAAAGGATATCATGAATTACCCAAAGTTTACATCACTATGGGATCAATGGTTTATTTATTTAAGATACATTTTTCAGCAGTATCTCTGTATCTAAACATACAAAGTACTTTACTCTAAACTGGAGAGGCATTCAGCTTATATGGCATAACGAATTGTACGGTTTCCACTATATGTTAGCTCATCACGGTTACAACGGTGTTGCTGAGTTTATTTAGTACAACCACTTGAGTCATCAAGTATGGCTGGAAATCGATGTCAGTAATTGGTCTTATAGAAGTTATCTTTTGTATTTAACACGAGGTTGTTACGAACATTAACAAAATAAGAAATCTATCTATGTGAATAAAATTAGTAAAAACTTTTCGGATATTTCAGACAGCAATCAAAGCACAACACTAATAACTTACCGCTTAACTAATTCATCATCATCAAGTAACAAAGAGACCATATCAGATGAAGTCATATGTTCAGTGGGACCTGATGAATTTGTTACATTCGGTAATAAATTGCTTAATCCTCCTTGACCGGATTGAATTACCATTTGTTGCATTGCACGTTTTTCTTCTGCCCGACTTAGCATACGACCTTCAACTGTATTTTTACAAATCAGCCTATAAACTGTTACCTGAAATATAAAATCAGTATATCAAAAGTAACAAATACTAGTAAAATTTCTTTATATTTAGTATAATGAACTGGATGACATACGATAATAATGATAGTTTAAAATTTCGTTAATTAACCTAAATTACTGATTTGATATGACGACGAGAAATGAAGCTTTCATCTTTGACTAATCATTTTTTTATTAGTAAATAAGTTAAACACACCCCATATTAAATTCGTTCCTATTTTTATCTAGTATATCAAATCTCACACGTACTGAGTTTATGAAGTGGTTCTGAGAAGAAATTTTCAGTTTGGTTAAGCCAATATTCCATATTATCGAATGATCTGTCATCAATTACATTCGTTCATTTAAAGGAATCCATGATTTCCTTCAATCAGTATTTTGATATGAAGAGAAGGCAAGACTTAACGAAGGGCTTCAATAATTTCATCCTTCTTACAACAATTGTTACTTGTTACTTCAATGAATAATTAATTATAGAATAAAAAATTCAACTCGATTACAACAACAACAACAACTGAATACAATGAGAAACATGAGGATGATCAATCAAAATCAGTGGCGGGCTACTTCAATATCTGGGCTACCTGTGAACTAATATCAAGATATTTCAATAAGTCATATCTTTTGTGTATTTTATTATTATTATTATTTCGGCCACTATAACAAACTGATTTGAGGAATAACCAAAGAGCTTCTAAATGAGAGGTAAGGGCTGATGATAGTGCCTAGGACGGCTGTGAAATCTACTCAAACTATCTAGCTTAAGGAACTTCAAAATAATAAAAGCATTTATCTAAGCTGCAAATCACCTACATCATTTCAAAACTAATAGTAATCATGATGAAGTAATGTTTGATATCAGTTGGATATCGATTTTTCTCCATACTTAAAAAAATATTCAGTCCGCCTAAATTATCAAACAATTCTATTAGATAACTGTTAGGATATTCATCCAATATCCTAAGAGAATTATTGGTCAATTCCTATTGGTTAATTCCTACTGGTCAATTTCAGGGTCATCCTAGATATCAATGTCGCGTACTCCAATGTTGTTTCTGATTGGTTGTCCTGACTGTCAATGTCATTTCAAATGGTTACTTCCTATTGGTCGTCTTAACTGTCAATGCCACCGAATTCGATGCTGTTTCCTATTCGACCAAAATGTATAAATACGCATTATCTGTAACATTTTATGACCACGACCAGGACCCGGTCCCAGATCCCTAGTCCAGGATCCTGATTCTCTTCTGGATTCGGACCTCGTACTTTCTGGATGCGTGTGGAATACAGGTTCTACTTCATATCACGTCTTCTTATTTTAACTAAATATGGGGGTTGGAATAATCGGATTTAAGTAGCATGTCGTGTCGCCGGATCCTCGCTCTCGTTTCCCGACTAGGTAAACTCGTAATAGTTCAAGTATATCAAGATGACGTGTTTATGTGCAGGCGTAACAATAACCAAATAGACAATTTCAAAAAGAAACCTACAGGCTTTGTTTGACCAAGACGATGTGCACGATCCATTGCCTGTTGATCTACAGTTGGATTCCAATCAGAATCATAAAATATAACTGTATCTGCTGCAGTTAAATTAATACCAAGGCCACCAGCACGAGTTGATAATAAGAATACAAACCAACGTGGATTAGTTTGCCATTGAGCAACCATATCCCTACGGTCGGATAAACGTGATGAACCATCCAATCGCAAATAAGCATGTTTACGATATAACATAAACTCCTAAACAAGTGATACACATAAAAAGATCACATGAATGAAGGCAAAAAAGTCATCTAATTTTCGAAAGTAATGAAAAGCATGGTTAAAATGGAAGTTTCAAATATATGATTTAATTAGCAGAATATGGAAATAGAGCAATTAAAATGAAAGGGCAATGAGCCAGTTTTTAACGGTAAATCAAACAAAGACTTCAATTAGACACAAAATAGCAGGAAATCCCGACCCTATTTGAAAAATCGGTTGCAAAATAATTGTATGAATTAAGAGGCACCTTTTTCAAAAAATGGAGACGATGGCTGATTCATTTTATGATGTTGAGAACGCTCAGTTTTACAGGACTTTTCAAAACAACTCAGTCATCTCCGACTCCCTCGAAGAGATTCGAGATAAGTCATCTGGGCATGGTGATTTGAGGTGCTTCGTAAGTTGTTCTTTGTTATGTTAGAAGGATCGGTCGTTACTGAGTAAGGGGAACAAGATTATCTAACCGACGATGCTGAGGTATACCACCCAAAATGTTTATCAAAGTACTCTGTTATACACCGGGTTTTAAAACTTAGACATAACTACAGGTGGTGCCCAAATATTGTGGTATTTCGCAACCTCAATACAGCATTAAACTGCGTTGACCAGCAAGTTTTGTGGGATCGTCTGTCCTTAAAGGATGTATCGTAGAAGTACATAAACTGTAAAAGCTTTTTATTCGTCTGCTATTCATCAAGTTAGAGGCTATGGCAAACTGCCACCAAAATTCATAAAATCAAGCGGTGCCTTTTAGGTCTGTTCACTTTCCTTTACTTATTTGACTTTTTCATGCACATTTTTTTAGGAATAACAATTTTGACATCTAACTCTCCAAGGATTGATCTCTTTTTGGGAGATTTATTGAGTGGCTTGGAACTGATACGTCATAATCTTTCCCAGTAAATAAGCTGACAAAATACAGTCGTCTTGAATGATAATGCATGCTCGGGGTAAGCTTATCTCTATCTAAATGAGGAATTTTGCTTGAGAACTGGCCTAAGCCAACGTCTGAACTAGTGATAGAGTGTGTGGTAGAAAAGCACGTCGAACACCTTATCTTGAAAGTCCCATCAACCTTGATAGATTGGTGTTTGATGAAACCTCGGCTGGGATTCAAGAAGCTCTGATGACTTTTGCCAACTTGTGGAGTAGGTGAGATGTCAATTTGCCAACTGAAGGACGATTACATTGTGCAACAGAATATAATCTAAGTTAGAACTCTATGGGGACCATCAATCCCGCTATAACAAAAGCTACACCCTGCCAATCAGTATCAGGGAGCATGAAACAAGAATCCAGAACTTCTTTTCAACTGCCTTGAACAAGCTAATGTCAAATAACGTGCTCCACAACAAAGAGTAATTTTAAGCTCGCTAAATCATGACTTAATCACTAAGGACTAGAAAAAAACCTAGCACTCGCTATCCTACTCAGCGACGATGTGCTCAACTAAAAATCCTCAAACTAATTTTATGTTAATGGGTGTAGATTATCTATAAAGAATATGAAGTACAATCGTATTTTTAATACATAAGTGTATTATGATATTAGCTTTTAAAGGTTTTGTCAAATACCAAATTAGAAATTCAATAGAAACGCTTCAGGTACACAAATAAGGAAGCAAGTATAAACAAAAACATTCGGAAAAGTACTTTATCCATCCAACTAAAATATCCCATTCTCTTGAAATTGAAATAACAATATAAATGAACAGATTTTTAAAAGGAAAAAAAAACAACAACTGCCCTCAAACTAAATAAAAACTAACCTCTAATATATCAATCATACGTGTCATTTGTGAATAAATTAATACACGATGTCCATTTGATTTTAATTCACTAAGTAAATTATCTAGTGTAGTTAATTTACCCGAATCGGAAATACGTGTAGCACGTGAAACAAGCTCTAAACTTCTAGGCAATGGAATAGTTACATCAGATAATAATGAATACACATGAGTGACATCAAAATTAAACGTATTTACAAATGGTTTCAATGGATGAATTAATACCTAAAATACAAAAAATTAAAAAAAAAGGGAAACACATTAGAATGAGGATTGAATTTAAAAATCATTCACTGATTCAAAATTACATTTTCGATATTAATACATATGAACAAAGATTTTCCAAGTCAGTCAGTCAGATGCAACGTAGAACTTCGTACGCAAGTACATAAGTTCATGTTGCCATACCACATTAGCACAGAGATGTAATTGTCAATTCAAATCCAATAGTAGAAGAGGTAGTAAAGGTATTAGGAGTAGTCGGAGAGGTAAGGATTAGAAGATATTATTCAAGAAGTATGATTTGATGAGAAAAGTTTAGAAAGTCAAAACTAGAGTTGTTGAAGAATTCAGAAGATTAAGATTTGAGACAACACAAAAAATAAATGCACCGGCGCCATTGCGAACGATTTTGAGCCATGTCAATCAAGGTCTCTAACCATCGATTATTATCATCTCGTGGACCCCAACCAGGTAGTCGACAATTACCGACATGGCTAAGTCCACTCGTCAATGACTTCATGGATTTGTGCCATGTTTTGGTTTGGTCGCCCCTAACTTTCTTCCAACCTACTCCTACACTACAAAAACAAAGCTCGACGAGGCAGTCGGTGGTTGGGCATACGCAACACATGTCCCAACCACCTCAACTGATGAAGTGTCACTATTGCGTCTATTGATCTGCCATTCTTAACTAGCACCCGTTTCCTAATAACAGCGTTGCTCACTCGGGTGTCCCACGATATACGAGCAATGCTTCGAAGACACCTATGATCGAAAACCAGTAACCTACGAATATCTTCTACTCTCACTGGCCATGTTTCACAGCCATAAAGTAAAGTCAAAAATGCTTTTTCAAGAATAAATTAGAGATATGCAAGTAATAAACATGAATAAACTACAACAATATGTGATATGAAACTTATTGGTACACAGGTACACTCGTTTTTTGATTTACAAACACTAAATAATTATAATTGGATTGATCATTCTGAAACAAAACGGAGTCGTTTATTTTTCTATTCTGAAGCTTGTAAACTAACTCTTAACTATTCATTGTGCGTAGTGTAATATCGACCTGTTGCCCTAATTTTCTACGATCAATTTACTATGCATTACTACTCTCTTATCATTTGTTTTAAATGCTGTTTCTAAATAAATTTTCATATGCTTGAATTAGCGGTACTAATGAGTTCGTTAAATCCTCTATCGCACTCCTCTCTCTACCAGACTGTTCGTTTTAGAGTCTTCTAAAAAATGGATTGTGAACTTTCAGCGATACGAACTTTGAAAATTGGATGGTCATCGCTTCTAAACTTGGATGATTTCCTGATCTAGGCTTCTCCAAAACTAATCTTTAATACTTGAACTACTTCCTCATTCTCTAATACTAAAAAATGATAGATCGCAAAGCAAAATTTTCAAATGTTGTCGAAGGTGTTCTAACTGCTTCAGTCAGGCATATGCACTGGTTTAGGTGGAAATGTTAACATCGCTGAATGTTCAGAATCAGTTATAACAGTTAGTGAATTTAAAGTTGGGGCGCTATGTTTTACAAATTGTTTAAAGTGCATACATGGAAACTTGTACTTTTATCATTCAATATAAAGGAATAATTTTATTTTGGTTATAGAGATTATTGAGTATCAGTAAAATTATGAATCGATTATTGTTAGGCCACCAATAGAAACCTGGAAGCACTGAACGGCCGTTTCGTTCTATTATGGGGACTCATCAGCAGTACGCATCATCTAACAAAGATTGATTCATAATTTCAAAGAAATAATCACAATTATTATACATAAGTAAATTAACAAAAACAGTAACGTGTTAATTGTTCTGTTGACATATCAATGAGGAAAATGATCCTGAAATTATTGATTTTGAGTTTTAGAAAAGACCAAAATATACTTTTCATCTGGTCAACTGATATGTAGGATAAAATTTTATCCCTTCGTAGTCGACAAGTACATTCAATGAATGATTTAGGATTTTACGGTTATGTAGTACGAGCTAAAATGTCTGCTCCGTCCGAATCACAGACGAAAGTTGAGCTGATATAACAATATGATAGACAAGTAGATACCGTAGCTACGATTTAATGTTACTTTCGTTGATGAGGCTGTTGATTAGTTTTTTCACATAGTGCATAAAACTTTATTTGGAACAAAATTATGTTCGGTTGGTTGTGCGTAATAAATTCGTACTTCGTATGAGAGAGCCTCCACTTGTTTTCTTGTTCAAGTATCAACGGAATGGATATGATTGGCAAAGATCATGCTTTATCGAGAACCAATTGAAAGTTAGAATGCTAGTTAGCACATTTCAACAGCAAAAAGGTAGTAGATCGTGCTCGTGTAAGGTATGAATGCGTATAATCTATCTGATTCTAAGTTTCAAATCATATATGCACCGTTTCTCAGTGTTATCAGTCTTAAAGTCAATTCTGGCTCGTTATGTTACTTTTATAATATGCCATGAATAAGTTAGTTCCGATGGTTATGAAATTACTTTCTCAATCCATTCAATTAACTCTATTCATAAAAATCAGAATCAACACTATCACAAATAAAGACTGAGTTTACAAGAAAAGAGACAATTACAAAATAACATTAGACAGAAAGTAGGAAGTATATTGGTTACTGTAGCAAAGAGGATACTTGGGCCATTATTCATTAAACATGATTAGTAAGCTGTTGTAGGGGACTATCGTGCAAATTCATGATCATTATGCTTACCAAAATACGAATTGTTGCGAAGGCTGTTGTATACTACTTAAATCTTAACTTATAGAACGACTGAAAATTCAAAATGATATTTAATACCAGCGAATAGTTGAAATCATATTTTAATTATAAACAACACAGTGAATTAGATAGAAACATACTTTGTGTATTGTTGCCTCTGAAACAAAATTTGGAATAAACGGTCTTATTCCAGGACAATGAATACAAACGGATGGTACATACGATACAGTGGTAGTAGATGAGTCATATTCCATTGGATGAAGTAGAAGATTTTGAAGACAATTTAATTGTGCAACTGAATAAGGAGAAGTACGTACAGTACTCATGGGGGAAAATGAGTCTAATTGTAATAGACCATAAACTTTTTTATTCCATGTCATATCTTCATTGAAATAATTGCTTATTATTGTACTTTCTGATTGATTACAGGAAACAATTTCAGAATTGGAATGTGAAACAGCACCTGTTCGAATCATTTTTACATATTCATTTACTGATAAACCTAATAGGCGAGTGAATGAAAAGCCTAAGAAAGAAAAGAGGTAAATATCATACATACATACAACAAACGAACTAAATTCATTTATATTAGAAGCATTTTGTTCATTGACTGAATAGCCAGACAAATAAATAAGCAGACAAAATAAACAATGAGAAAAAACCGAAGCCTATTCAGTAGTTGTAATACTGAACTAAAAAACATATGTACAAAATATTCAATTGAAAGGATTCGTTACAATCTCAGTAGTATATGTAAAAAAAAAACAAGTTAACTGATAACAATCATGGAATGTACTTTTATTACACTTCACTGTGATAAATACACGTTCATAAAGAGAAAAACACTTAATGAAAATACACTTAGGTCAATTTTCTCTATAAAACTTGATCAGTTTGTCATGAGTAGTAGTCACAAGGGGAGATTGACTGTATTAATAAATACGTGCATACGAAAAATAATAACAATCTTTAAAATTCAAGCCAGATGTTGCTTCAGAATTGGCTTGTATCGGCACTTGAACTTGTGATGAGGAGTGAAGTATTCGAGCGTGTTAATCGCTTCACTTATCTCGAGGGCCTCATCAGTGATGATGTCCTGGTGACTGACGAAGTGTTAGCACGGATACATAAGGCTTGATAGGCTTTCGCCAAATTGCGTCATTTATAATGCAGGCGAGATATCCGTCTGCTAACCAAAGGACAAGTCTACTGCCTAGTAGTTGGCTCCGTCCTACTTTATGACTGTGAAACATGGCCAGTCAGAGTAAAAGATGTTCGTAGGTTAGTGCTTTTTGATCATAGGTATCTCAGAAACATTGCTCGTGTATCCTGGGACAACCGAGTAAGCAATGCTGTCGATAGGAAACGGGTGCTAGGTAGGGGTGGCAGATCAACAGATGAAGTATCGAAACTTCATCAGTTAGAGTGGTTAGGATATGTGTACGCAATGTGTAATCATAACGTCACACTATTAATGTTAGTAGTTTAATTATTCAACAATTTAAATGATAGCCTTCTATACGATAGTGATACTTTTCAATTGCACTTTTCGATTGCACTATTACACAATTATATTCATAAGAGGGCTACATATTAAAAAAATATATAACCATCATCAGCAAAATAGTAAAACTGATTGAAATTGTAATTATTCCGCTTTAAATGTTGCGAATCACAATAAAATATCGAACAGCTATAAAGAATTCATGATAAATTACATTAATAATCCGATTGTTTCAACTAAAAGTAATTCGACCTAATGATAATTAAGAAATTAATATAATCACAATAAGAGTAGAAAGTTAAGTAAGTTACTTCAAATTAGACACATGCGCTATTCACTCAGTTACAACGTAGAAGTTCGTACGTGCGTACATCAGTTCAGGTTGCCATACCACATGAGCACAAAGACACAACTGTCAGTTCAAATTCCATAGTGGTAATGTAGAAGATTAAGGTTCTAAGCTATTATCGAAGAAGTATAATTCAGTGAGATGAATTTAAAAAGAGAAAGGTATAGGTGATGACGAATTCAGAAAATTAAAATTTCATTGAACACAAAGAGTGGATGCACCTGCGCTATTGCAAACGGTCTTGAGCCATATCATTTAGGGTCTCTAACCATCGATTATTATCATCTGGTGGACCCCAACCAAGCAGTCTGCGTCTACCAACATGACTCAGTCCACTTGTCAGTGACTTCATGGATTTGTGCCATGTCTTGATCTCGCCGCCTGTAGCTTTCTTCCAACCTAATCCTACACCACAAAACATGCGCTATGAAAATTGAGTTAAAAAATATATTTTAGTTATTGAAATACAATTTGTAAACAAAAGATAAATCAAATTATCACTTACATTTAGATGCATAGTTTGTACATGATTTAATTTGATTTAATTTACAATTTCGTGGTCCTAGATCAGGTTCTTCATTATCATGATGCCATAAATCATCATGTATGTAATAAGGATGATGAAGATAGAAATATTTTGCAATAATAATCAATAAACTAATTGGATAAGCACCATACAAAGATATTGGACAGATAGAAAATAGATTGTTTAAACTTTTAGCTCTCCAACTAAATAATGACAGCGCATCTATAGAATAAAAATTTAAAAAGTAATTTAAAAAATATATATATAGATGCGAAATAATTTTGTTTTCAGAATGATAATTTGTAATGATTTACACATCATTTGAATAAATACTTTATTTTAAACTGATATGAAGGTTTGAGGAATCAATTCTGTTTAAAGATTATGGGTGGGCACGTTAGTGATGAAAAGGATATTTTAAAAGGAAGTAGTTTGCCTTAAAAAATTTATTTCTACGTAGATAACTAACCTTGATGTTAAAAGAACAGAATAACGAACAATGAAAATGATAAAACTTTTACAAAAATATTTGCAAAGTGTATATATATATATATATATATATATATATATATATATATATATATATATGATCGTTAATGAGTTAATGAGCTAACTCGTCAACCAGGTCACTTGGATACAACCTACACTATGAATGTGAGAACTAATGGTACTATTCGGACGTCCAAACTGTAGTAAATGGAGCAAGACTAGAACTCGGAACCTAAGCGGCTGAAAGTTGAACACTCTAACCAATAGGCTATCACATTATCACAAATATGGACGTAACTATCATTTTCCAATAACTGGATTATTTAAACCAATTTTATCCTAGTAGTTATCTAGGATACATGAATTTCAGTAAGCATTAATCCACAAATTATTTATAAACAACAGGATTGCCTATCAACGTTATCAATGATAATAAGATTGTTTTATTGTCCTTAACTTTGATGTTAACAAGATTTCTGCATTGAAAATCATTTACTAGATGCTAGATTTAATGATGCCAATGATAAAAACAGAAATGTATAATTTTGAAATAACCGCCACTACCAACTAACATTTTCAAACAAATTTAAAGTAGTTCAATTGTGAAAACATTCAAACCAGAGATCAATGAATGTGAAAACATGAAATTAAATCAAACAGCTGAAAAATTCAAAAAAATCAACCTACTAAGGAAAATTATAAATGAACAAATTTACTAACGAGAAATAATAAAATACAATAAGGTTATGCATACAATCAATCATTTTACATACCATCTTCATACAGTAGATTTGGTAGCCTCCACATTGCATGTTGATTACAAGTATTATTATTACTGTAAGCATTATATTTAATATCTGAATTATACAATCGACAACTATTCGGTTCAATTTGACCAGTTATAGAAGAGAAACGAACATCACGACGTTCCCATAAATCGGGATGATTGCATACTTTTCTTAATTGCATCACTAAATTAATTAAATGAGCTGTAGCCGACGAGGATGATGATGATGAAGCGGAGAATGCATTATTAGCATTATCTAAATTTGATGAAAAACTATCTGATATACCATTGGCAGACATAATGGAACTAAGATCTTCTAAACGAATTTTACTACGCAATCGTTCATACAATATTTGTTGTCTATGACTCAATGGACAATATAACATAATCTCCGTCTACATTTTTTTTAAAAAAAAGAAAGATAAACACAAGGGATTAGCATTTAATCAATAATCCAACTGATGATTATGTAATAGGTTCAGCTACTAGACGATTATTTTCGAAACCATGAATCGATGAATGTTAGACCACCATTAGAAACCTGGAAGCATTGGACAGCCGTTTAGTCCTGGTATGGGACTGCTCAGCAGTGCGCATCCATGACTCCTGAAAATCGCAAGATTCGAACCCAGGACCTTCGGTATTGTGCGCGAACGCCTAACCATCGGACCACTGAGCCGGTATCTAACGGTGTTAATGTCTAACTTGATCGATTCTCCGAGTTCTAGTGGGAAGACGTGACCAGTGAAGATCAACCTGTTCGGGTGTAGACAATAACTACCGTGTATGAGGTTGCGCAACTCCGTGAATTGATGAAGCTAGCCATTAACACCGTTAGATACCGGCTCAGTGGTCCGATGGTTAGGCGTTTGCGCACAATACCGAAGGTCCTAGGTTTGAATCTTGCGAGGTGCAGGAGTCAAGGATGCGCACTGCTGAGGAGTCCTATACCAGGACTAAACAGCCGTTCAGTGCTTCCAAGTTTCTAATGGTGGTCTAACATTGATCGATTCATGGTTTCCAAAAATGTGTAACTTAACAATCTTCACAACCCCGTAATATAAACGATTATTGTTTTATATTTTAACAGTAAACTAAATTAGGTATTTATAGCCAGAAATGCCTTAATATATTCAGTAAATGGACTATGAAAAGGATCATTTTTGATGTGAAATTCTTCTTTTTAATGAAGTATACAATACGAACAATCTTGAAAGAAATGCAAAGATGTTAATTCAGCTTACAGACAACAATATGTATTCAGATGTTTACTAGAAGATACAATGAAAAAAGTCATGAATAAACATCACTAGTGTCTATCTTAAGAAACATTTTTTTTTCTCAATTTCAATCGCTTATACACATTTAGTACTACCACTACTATTAGGTTAAATTATTTCAGATTATTCTACGATCACTATCCTACTTTTGATCATTTAAAAAGCAATTTTGAAAGTAGAATTGTGTATTCGAATTGTCCCCGCCCCCCCCCCCACTAAAAACAATGTCAACACAGAAAAAAAGAAGTGAAATTTTGAAAAATAGTTAATTTGAAAGAAAATCAGAGTTCGCTAAATTTTTTCCTACCTTGACAATGATCAATAAGCACAAAAATGAACAAGATAAACAGAAATCTTACAATGAACTAAATATTATTTAAATATAATTACACTAAACACAGAGAATAAACAATAAATCGATAATCACCTTAGTTGATATTTCATGTTCAACTTCTGTTTTTGTTCGACGTAACATGAATGGTTTCAAAATTAAATGTAAACGTGACAATTGATTCTCATTCAGTTTTGAAGTTATAAGCGATCCAGCTCCACTGCTACTACCAGTGATGCTTCCTCCACCACCAGTTCTAGCTGTTGCACTGGCTTGAGATTCAATATCACGTGAAAACCAATTGGCAAATTCATCATGTGAATCGAATAATGTAGGCATAATAAAATGTAACAATGCCCATAGCTAATAAAAAATAAGTGAGTAAATAGAAAAAAAAGCGAAATAGATTTGGACAAAACAAAAGAAAAGTTGACTGAAAATCAATAATTAATTGATTAGAATTACAAAGTGCTTAACTAAGCTGTTTTGGGGATGTTAGATCCCCAGAACTCATTTGATAAAGGTCCACATTTTGGACTTTGTGTTTTCGAGCAGGGACTGATTAGTTGACCTTGAGATTACACTTCCCACCACCAAAATCCTTGACTGACATTGGTTAATGTATTATTTTAGTACGCTATTTTTGTGGCTCTCGCAAGGACGTTTCTATCATGTATAAATAAATTCCATTTGTTTGCTTGAAAACCTCATATTTTCTGGGTGCTTGTAGAATACACTTTCTACGTCTTGTCAAGACTTCTTCCTCTACTTAATGGGGCATTGGGACGATCGGATTAGAGTAGCCTATCGTGTCACTGAATCATTTGTATTCGTTCTCGTTTACCGAGTAAGGTGAACTCGTTCAAGCATATCAACTAACAAACATAACATAAGCTATCAGATGAATGAATTTCAATCTTACTCGTGAAATATAGCTGTTCATTCTAATGCATATATACAGAGAAAGAGAGTAATAATCGAGATATTTTGCATTTGACGGCTTAAAGGAATTTCAAGATGATTCGATAGTCTACTTAATTATGTAACATAATACATGTGATGCTTCTCACATAAGCATACATAAACCTTTGCATTAGGGTGCTCCAAAGTATTCCACGGAAAAGTTGATAGGGGTTTAGAAAAGGTTTGGATCAGCTTCGAGTAGAACCTTGGCAGAAGCACCTAGAAAATGAGGAATCATGAGCCACGATTTTGACTGGAAATTTACCTACATTACTACTATATTTAGCATGTTTTCGGAATCTTCCATGAGCCCAAAGACAATTTTAACTCTATAAATACCAACATTGGAGTAAATTGATCTCTCCATATTTCACGGCTTTTCTCGAGTGTTTAAATTGTCGCGTAGATTTAGCCTGAGGTTATTAGAAACGGCTTGGATATCAGATCTAGAGTTCATTTAACAAACTTATTACTTTTTTGTAGTTTACTTCAAATGATGCTGTTCTAAGTACGCTACTTAAATTTTGTCCGGAGCCAAAAAATTTAAAATATTGTTAATGACAAAAAAGCATTGTTCAATCTACTAACTAATGAAGATTTACTTGATTTAAAAATCATATTCATCATGAATTAACATTGATTAGAGACAACCGAAAACCACAGACCCAAAAATAATAACCTTAAAAAATATTATACCCTTGTAACAAACAACAAACGACCCAGTCACTTTACGATATAAAACGATCGTTACAATAATCTAATTAGTAGAGTTTAAGATCAAATCATTGTTATATCCTAGCTTCTAAAAAAAATTTCAATCCGTTGCTCTTAGATATAAAGTAATGGGAAAGATATTATGCTCGACATGAGCCATGGAGGTTCCAGTTTCGATCTGGTATAGAGCTACGGTGAAAAATGTTCACTTTTGAAAACAAGCTCAAAGATACAACAAACTATAAACGTCGATTTTAATTTCAGAGGTGGAAGAACAATGTATACGGTAGAATAGCACCAACTATCTAATTCCAATTTATATTCAAAAAGCATCATTAATTAATCTTAGTAATATTAGTAATAAAAGAAATTTCCGAAAAGAAAATGATAGGAAAAAACTAGAATATTTTTTTATCGATTATTATTATACTCACTTCTTGCATTGTATTCTGAATTGGAGTTCCAGTAAGTAATAAACGATTTCGACACTTAAAAGATAATAGAATTTTCCATCGTAAGCTTAAAAGAAACATAAATAGAAGAACTTGAAATTTACATACTGATGGGGGAGATAAAATCAATTTATTGGTAGTTTTTCCAGTGGTTCTATCTAATACATAGAAAATTTCCTCAATATTGAATTAATGGATTTGCAAGGTTTTTCGTAAACTGCTAAACTGTACGCATATTCTATTTGCAATTACTGAAGACTATTTTTTTATTGGAAGAACAAAAATGCGAATTACATTACGCTGTGGTGCGCGCTACTTATAAGTAGTATATGACGCGAGTGTCAACGTAATGTCTGGCAGCAGAATATGGGGGAAGATCAAGAAAGGAAGAAGAGTGGGAACACAATGGAATTTGTATGAAACGCATGAATAGTGAAATGTCAGACAATGGATTGATGATGGATTGAAGATTTGCAAATTAACGGTTACGATATGGTTTTCTTATTTTACTGAGTAACTCTGTAATTTTGGTTAAATACAATTCGGTTGCCCTCACCTGTGTTCTCCTTCACTACAACGCTACATGAGTTCAGTACAAAACAAATTCACAGTATGTAATAAACGGATTACATAGTTAATAAAAATTAAACACAATAGTTCAACAACATCATATAAATGTTAAAGATTATTATATTTCAGTAAAAATGTAACTTGATTTCAATAATCAACAAGTCTAACTAACTAACGTACTCCAAGAAGTTAGATCAAGTATAAATCCATATGAATGGAATAAAATGACAAACACTAGAACTATTTTAATCATTTTCAAGTGTTTGCCTAACTTATATCAAGCACATGATTGACATTTTCATAACACAGAACAGTCATACTCATAATCTTAGACGGTTAATTAATAAAAATTAAAAAATATATGCAGACCATGGCTAAACAAATTATAAAGAAATATAAAAGAACACAATTTTAATCTTTGGTGAACACGTTTAATTCTAATAGCCTTTTAGAAGAACTACAACAGTTCAAATGAAGGATAGATCAAATGTAATGTGTGCTGAGTTAACATGGCTTATAGCAAGAGTTCATATTAAAATCTCTTCATCCATCGATCAGCTTAGCGAATTAACAATCGAGAATAAATTGAAAAAAATAACAAAACAACGATTAAGTAATACTTTTTCGCTAAACTGAAAAACATGAGAAAAAAAGTGACAACCAACTAGTGACTATGGGAGTAAAGATAGTTTTTTTATGATTTAAATCAACGACTAAATGGTAAATTGAAAACCGATTCGACTAACATACCTTGATGTACTTTTAATAGCATGTGCTTCATCTAAAACAATATATGACCATGCAGTTTTATTAATAAATTTTGCATCTTGTAATACAACTTGATAACTTGTTATAACTACATGTAGTTCAGAATCTTTCGTTCCAGCTTGTCCAGCATTAATATCACTGGATTCATCAAAAGCTTCGGCAGTATTAGAAGAACGTGTAGATGACCAAAATCTGCGCAAAACTTTACGTTCAGTTGGTGTACCCCAATAAGGGACTAAACGAAAAGCTGGCAGGAATTTAGCAAATTCCTGTGTCCAATTATGCAATGTTGACGCTGGAGTAACAATTAAAAATGGACCCCAAATGTTGTAATTCTTTGAAAAAAATTGAAAAAGAAAAACTAAAACCATTTAAGGTCAAATTCTCAATCGATAAACACTTTAAGACTAAAGAATCACGTTGGAAAAAATATTCAGTATCGAATGCTAAAAGATCAAACTAAATTATTAATATCCTACTGAATCCCCCGTCTAACAACAGTTGATTTCCAAGCTCAAGTAAACAAGGAGAATCATGCGTATAATTACCAACCCCAACTCGTAAAAAACCTGACACAGAATCCCTAACCGGCGAAAACTGAATAAACTCTACTCTGGAAGGAAAAAGGTTGATGATGTTTCATAGTGAAACTTGGTTTTATTATTTTACATTGTTTCTTTTTTAAAGTATCAACGAATTTCTGTATGCCCAGGCGAGTGATGCTACATGGCTCTCCTTCTGAAAAACAGAGTAATAATAAACATGGAGACAATAAGAGAGATGGGTAGGGTCTTTGAAATAGATTCGAAAATGAGGACAAAAAATCTGGTCGTGCTTGGAGTAAGTAGAACCCACTGGACACAAGCTAAGTAGGAAAGATTAGCATCATACGAAATGTTATTATATCCTGGTTATGGAGAGGAAAGTGATCACATGCACAATGTACTGTACTAATGATCTCCGAAGCACTCAAAGCGCTTAGTGTGGGAAATCCGTGGCTCCAGACTCACCGAAACATTCGTTAAAACAAAGAGGAAAAGTGCAGTGCACTCAATAATAATAGTATCAAAGGTGATAAAGACTATTTTTGAGAGGGGCCGAAGTCTATCATAGAAGAATGTCCAAGAAAAGACCCAACCTGAACGTCAGGGTCGGTATAGACAATAACAGATGTTGTGGAACAACATGGACTGGGAGAAAGAAACGAGAATAGTAAGTGGCTAGTGAGTCGGTTTTCAACAACATCGTTACGGGTGGTACTAATTTCCCCAACAAATAAAAGCAAAAAGCTATAGGGATTTCTCCGAATCACGCTACAAAGAACCCGATCAATCAAATTTAGATGAATAACCAATTCAAAAGCGTCATGGAAGATCCAAGAACGACGAGAGGAGCTAACCTAGCTGCATATCACTACCTGGTGGGAGTCAAGAGAAAACTGAAGTTAAAGGAAGTATTGGACAACTGAACAAGAAACACTACAAAAGTTTAATAAGATGTTTCTTCAAGATGCTAACAAACTCGGTAAGTTCAAGAGAGCTATCATCAACAAGTTTACAGCCTTACAAAATCCACCAGAATAAAAAAACACTATGAAAAACAATCGTGAAGGAGTTAATAAACAATAACTTGAACACGTTCGATGTTGGGCCGTATGTAGCACAAACTGAAACCTTGGGTGAGATTCCAGATAAGAAGAAGACGAAGACATCAGTCAAAAACAGCAGTACAAAAGCAGAGATATTCAAAGCCCTAAGCTGAATGCACAGAAGCAAAAAAATAAATGAAGTGAAGAATTAAACCTGGCGATAGTAAACTTGTAAAAGGCTTTGAGACTACAGTAGAAAAAGCTGAAGAAAAAAAAAGAAATGAATAGAACTACGTGGTACAACTAAGAAGTCAGCAGAGAAATACAATAAATTGGAGTGAGCAGTTAGGAACAAATACAGCAAAGTAACCACTGAGGGTTCAAGAGTAGCGGAACAGGTAGGTGGAACACTTTAAAGACCTAGTGAATAGACCAAAACCACTGAACCCACCGAATATCGAAGCAATACGTATAGACCTCTCAATAGATAGCACCCCACCAGCAATTGAAGAAATTAGCATTACCATCATACAACTCAAAGATTCTGATCCATTTGAACTAGACAACAAGCCTGCTAGAGCACTGGAATGATTAACAGTGATAACTGGGAAAATGTTCTTTGTTTTCTTCAGGAATATTTGGGAGGAAGAACAAGTTAAAACCCGTTAGAAAGAGAGGCAACTTATCGGGACATTAAGACAATGAAATCTTGATCAGTGTGATAACCACAGAGAGATTACACTGATGTCAGTAGACAAGACAAAGTTTTCGACAGCGTTGCTGAGTCAAACAAAAGACATAGTAGACGCCTAATTTATAGACCAACAAGCTGGCTCTGGTAAGGACAGATCATTTACCAACAAAAAAGTTACACTATGTATTCTCGTAGTGCAGTCATGTAAATGGAACTGATCGCTATACACAGACCTTTTTGATGATGAGAAAGGATTGGACATTCGCAAAGAAAAAAGCAATATCCTGAAGTACAGCACTTAAGTCACACAAGACGACGAAGCTTTGGAAGTGGAAGCGTTCATTTACTTGGACAGTATCATAGATAAGCAAGGAGGATCTGAAGCAGGTATCAAGCCACGAATTAACAAACCAAAGACAACATCTCTACAATTGAAGAATACAAGCCAGCGTTTTTAATATCAGTATTAAAACAGCTATAATGTAAGAAGCTGAAACTTGGAGGGTTATCATTACCACTTCGAAAAATGTATACGTGTTGATAAACATCTTACGCAGAATAATTCTCTACTATCGTAGAGAAAAGAACCCAGATAACGTCTGAGGATGGAATTTCGGAAAAGAAGCTTATAGTGGATAGGAAATATCTTGGATAAATCCTCACACTGCATCACAAGATATGTCCTAATTTGAAATCTTCAATATAAACAAAGAAAAGAGGTAGACCAAAAATCACATATGACTGGGAACTGCAAGCAGAATTAAGACTCGTGAGTATCATATGACAGCAATTGAATAGGAGGGTTCAAAACAAAAACAAATGAAGATCCATAGTCGGCTGCCTATTCTCTGAAGAGTAGTAGGCTTAATTAAATGAGTAAACTAATTTAATTAACATGTTAAAAGTAAAAATAACAGCTTCAACAAACTAATTTTATGCTACAGTTATTAACAACATTCCAATGTACGTTGATAAAAAACACATATTAGAAACTTACTTCTGCAAGGCAACCAAGAAATGCAACTGTTTGTACAGTTTTTCCAAGACCCATTTCATCAGCTAATATCCCATTAATACCTTGATCGAACAGACCAAGCAGCCAGTTCAAACCACGGACTTGATAAGCTTTTAACTGACCTTTAAATAATTTTGGCGCTTCAACTTGCGTAGGAGCTGTACTAGAATCTGGATTACTGGGAACAGGAGCACTTGGATTCGGATTTATCGCAGTTCCATTATGAAATTGTGATACCTAAATTTGTTGGAAATGAAAGTAGTGATTACTAAAGAGCAAAAATTAGACGAATAATCATAGACAACCATAGGAGAACTGAACATTTGTTCATATTGAAACTCGTTTCTAGAAATTCGCATCCTTCAAATGAGACGAAACCGGATACACGATTTCCAAGTCTTTTAATGAACATAATACCAGTGGTTCAATTAAATATAGAGGATAAAAATTAAGCATGATAGTCTGAACAATTAGTAAATTGATCTATATAGATCCTAGTCCTACAGAAGAATAAATGCTAAAAAAAATTCCAACTACGTTTTATTTTTTGTTATTTATCTTACATATAAGTATAATATTTTGCTTTATTTTACTGACCAAATATTTTACTTTCTAATATCCATTTGTCTTAAAGCATTAAATAATCCATTAAGTTATTGAGATGGATTTGAAAAAACATTCAAGCAAAGTGAAGCGAATTGGAGAAGACGAGTAAGCCAACTCTCGTGCGCTGAAGCAATGACTAAGTATTTATAGTCAGGCAATAAATAGGCTACACATGTAATCAGCAACGAAGCATGCATACACACAATCAAATATATAATATTTGATACTGCAATCGAATTATTAAAAAAACATAAAAGATGGTCGATACAATTATCGAATAATTTTAAACGACTAATTATTGGTCTTATTACACAATCATAATCAAGAACTGTTTCCATTTATTATCACGCGTACTATTAAGTTAAAATTCAATATTAAGAATTTTACAACTTCTAAGAGCATTCTAATGTTGTCAGTGATTTTCAGTCTTTTATAACTAGATCAATTTTAAGAAAGTGTTATTTTATTGATAATATGAAAGATTTATTTTGTAGAAGAATCTATCTCATCAAATCCTGTGCCTATTATTACCATGTCTTAATCATATTCATTTTTATTGGAGGAAATTTTCTACCATCTCCAACATCATTCAAGATTGACTGGATTTCTAAAAATTCGAAATCTAGATCTATCAGTGCTGGTAGAAGTTACGACAAAAGTCCTTCATAATGATTACCAAATTTAATTCCAGACGATTATACCATCAATTCCTTTAGAAATTCTGGTTCTACACCAAAAATATAATCAAAGTTAAGACTACGTATAGTAGTAGTATTGTGGTGTGTGCTACTTATACGAACGATATAAGTAGTATAAGGAGGGACGTGGAAGAAGAAGTTGCACGGTCAGAAGAGGAAACCCGAAAGCAAATGGAGCAAAAGCAAGAAGTAAATGGAGTACCAACAGGAAGGAAAGGAAGCAACAACGAGTATGGAAAAAGGATGGAGTGTTGGAAGTCACGACTCAAAGATGGTGTGAAAATAGGGTATTCAATGTAATGTTTTCGTTTTTAACTGACTTAGAGTGTAAATTTGCATAATACAATCTTCCTCGCCTGCCTCAGTCTTCTCAGCAGTAGTAGTAATGTCTATGGTTGCAGAACCTCACAATGTGATCTTTCTTTCTTTCAGACAATAAAAAAATAATTTGGAATAAGATTAAGGATATAGTTCATTGATAAATCTCAACATGTACAGAGTCTAAAGTGATCAGAGATCTATCTGTGGACTTTTGATAGTCATCATTATACAAGGTTCAAATAAGATGTACATTAAAACCTTGGTAATTAACCAGTAATTAGAACCACTAACTACTTGTAGTAAATATTTCTTATATAATCGGAATAACAACATATTTTTTGGATTTATTACTTTCGATATCAGTATCAAATCTTTTAATTATTCAAGATATTTTTGGGAGAAACTATGTGGAGGAATTGTGAGATAAATCTTGGTAAGACACAGACAGGTAATTCCAAGGTTATTTTAATCCAAGTCAAACACTAAACAAATATTTTTTTAAATAAATTTTTCAATAACAACGTACAAAACTCAAGTATTGCTCCTAATAGAAATTCGGTCAACCTATTTAAAACCAATAGATACTATTTTGATTGGCCAAGTAATTCTATCATCTTATGAACCATGAAAATTTTGCAAAGATCAAATGGTTTTCAAAAACAGAATTTGTAACCTTAATATGGAAAAAAACGCAATCATCACAGATCACCGATCACGGGATTCGAATTTCATCTTGTTACTTGGAACTAGACAAATAATAGACATGTATTTTGTCCCATTCTAGTAGTGAAATTACCATAATAATTATTACCAATTAATGAATAAGACACTAACCACTATAACGATGGTTAATATTCATGATAATAATAACAATAATAATAATAATAACTATAGAAAAAGAGATTCACACATACACGATTACGTTCCATTGTAACAGCTGCTTTGACTTTCATCAAAGCTTCGGATTTTGCTTGTTCAATATCTAAAATAAATAAAAATAAATAGAAGTATCATAAAACAAAGCAAAATTCTCGTAGTTTTTGGGGATAGTGAACCATTCCACATCAATGTCACCATGAATTGACTTCGATCAAATAAGTGTTAAAACAGAAACGCGGTTAGACAGTTACTACACCTAAATACTAACGGAAAGCCTTAATGCGATAAGTAAACTGTTCAAAGCAGTCAAGTAACTCATAAACGATACCAGATGAGGACTGCGTTACGTCGAAAAACCAATGAAGTTGAAGCTTCTAACTACCGGAAGCTTACTTATTGACTATCCAGTGCTCCTTGTTTTTCAACAGTCCAGCAACTGAAATCTAGGTCGATAATTTTGTAATCATTTGAAGAGTTTGATGAACATATACAGTTTTGAGATGATAGATAAATTTGTAGCTCAGGTGGATGTTTGTTGTGGTGCTTCGTTCTCTGAGATGGATGTTTCGGTTGTGGAGCTTTCGTTGTTTTTATGAACATCATCATTAGCACTTCTATCCGAAGTTTGTGCTGATGATGTTGTTCAGAAAAACAACGAAAGCTCCACAACAACACATACAGTTGTGATCGCAACTGTAGAAATCGTTCCTACTGGTTTTTAATTTATTGTTTGATCACACAAATGATCTATAGATAATGAAAATAATACCTTTAGAGAACTTATCACAATAAAATTTAATAGAGTATGAGTACCTCAAGTTCAAATGATAACACAATAAAGAGAAATATGCAGGTGAAATATGATAACTAGTAAGTTAACTCCAGAATAAAGATTTCATCGAAAAAATTTTAAGGCATAATATCAAACTAATAAAAATACTACAATACACTTCGATATCTATGTAGTTAGCCAATAAGTGAGCAGTTAAAACGTCTTATTTTAGTCTGTTGACAATGTTGTCTATGTTAATGTGGTTTACAAGAAAAAAACTCTTAATCTTGCTAAACCACTCTACTAAGTTGCAAGTTACATGAACGACCCTGGTGAACAACACTCCACCTTTTAAGCTGGTGGATATTGGACATGAGTGGAAAATTGAGTATTGAGCATGAACGTGACACGTGATTCGCTAAAACTCTAAGAAACAGTTGAAAATCATATATGAAAATTAGCCATTGTATAAAATCAGAGTTTATCTCCAAACCTACTAAAGCTCGTCGTGTAGACAAAAATACATTATCGAAAAATCATAGTTTTGATTAATCATACAATAAACATTACTAACCATATTCTTCTTCAACGTTAATACCCAACCGACAAGCTGCTGCTTTTGCGGCTACAGCAATCGAACTGTATGGTTTTCGGTGTGCAGATGCAGTCGATATGCCAACAGAATCTTGATCATTTTGAACAGGTTCACATGGAGCAGATATATCAGAACCTGTATCAGTACCTTCCTCGTTAGTTTTTGTTTCTACAGACTCATCGTCCATTTCTTCGAGCCGACGTAATATCCGTTGAGTTTCAACTTCTTGACTCACATTACCAGATGCTGATACGGCATTTTCAGAACCATATAAACTATTAATATCCTCAGATTTACAATTATCTAAATTAACATCTGCCATTTTTTTCGCCATAAAATGTGCATATAATTCTGTTTGTGTAATTAAGAAATTCAATTTTCGTTGTTGCCTTCTTGCCTCCAAAAGTTCTAAGTCAGCTTTACGTTGTTCAGCGGCAGCTTTCTCTGCTCTTCGACGTATGGCTGTACTTGACTCCATCATTGAAGTTGATGTGTTCAATTCCAAACTTCCACTTTCTGAGCGAATAGAAGTATAATAATCAGGTAAATCCATGAGTGAAGAGAAATGAGTAATATTCGTATTCGATGGTATAGTTATACCATTGATTGTAAGCGGACCAGAACCATTGGCTGTACTTGATGTTGAACTGCGCCAATTAGACGCAATCTCACGTGAAAGGCGATGTCCACGACCTTATAGGCAGAAAAGTACAAATAAAAGGAGACAAAGCAATAAAAATTACTAACGCTTCGGATTAGAGCAAACAAAACGCAGAAAATGATTGGGTTACAGTACTAATCAAAATATAGGTTGTTCAATGACTAGACTAGAAAAGCACTTTAAAAGCTGATAGATTAAATAAAGCTATGACTAAAGTTTTCGTCGATTTTTCATCATCACAGCTAACCAAAAGAAATTTTAATTATTAAAACTTTATTTTAGTTCAGGTTTATTCAGATTAGAGATGGGCAACCGAGAATGGAGTAGTTAATAATATTAAGTTATGATGCAAGTAGGATCTCAGATTCAAGCACATAATTGGATGAAATAAAAATGAAACCTTGGTTTACCATGGATATCGATACCTGTGTGGTTGTGTCACAGGGTTGAGTTGTGTTTTCTAGATCGTGCAAAAGCCTGGATGGTGTCTGGCTCTCCAGAAAACCAGTGTTAAACTACTCTCTTGTAGGGTATATTTATAATTGTGAAAACACAGAAAGTAAGCCAGTAAGGGAGGGTCGAATAGCCTAAATTGAAGATCGATGACTTGCACTAAAATACAACCTCACATCATTTATTTAATCTTACTTTCACACTTTCTAGTCGACTAGTTATGTAAGGAAAGGGTCAGATGACGACAATACAGCCCCATTCTATCATAATTAATCGAAAACGATGTTGTAGATAAGACTAAATCATTTCTAATGATCGAACATACACTTCTGTCGTTACCCAATGAGGTTTAACTTTGTCACTTACATATAGCAGAAGCAGTAGGGATTCAAACTTACAACCTTGATTTATGTATTCAGAAGGAATTTGCAACACCTCTGTTCCTTCCATAGTTGGATAAGGTAGTATACTAACCAGTTTTATTCATTACTATTATTTTCTATATCCTTTGAACGTTTGTTTTTCTCCACATTTATAATGTATATTCTTCACAATTTAATTGTTTGAATATTTCTTACCACGTAATTTTATTCATCTTTAATTATTACTAATGTGTCTATTGTTGTAAGTTTCGATATACTTCCTGTGTTGGAACGTTGTATCAAGCCTTTATTGCTCCTATCGCTACAAGAACACTTGTTACCTTACTATCAATGTGTCTTTACATAGTACGTTTAGTAATGTAATCTATTTCATCATAATTATTGACTCGCAAATCATCTTGATTTGTTCAGCATTTTTTGTACATGCATGTAAATATTGCTGTGTGATGAAGATTTAATTGAAAACAATATTGTTTTCTTATATGCATCATCCTGATTGTATTATCACGAATTTAAAATTGGTGCATAATTTATCAACTAAAGGTATACCTTAAGTAAGAAGTAAACGAGAAATTCAACACTTACTTATAGAATCTTTAGAAGCTTTTTGAGAAAGCAATGCTTTTTGACGCAACAAACGTGCGCATTCACGAGCAGCGCGTTTCGCGATGATCATCTTATCTCGACGACTAGCAACACGTTGCCTTGCCACTTTGCAAATGATCTTTTTAGCCATAGATTTCCAAGCACGTAATACTTTAGCTGAAAGTCTTCGAGCTGCTGGAACACTAGCGGCTGTGCTTAAGATAGCACCAGATTTGGTTTGAAGATCTGACTGTATTTTACGTATACTTGGACGACCAGCAGCAGCACGCGCAGAAAATGCTTGACGTTGACGAGAAACTATGGCAGTCAGTTGGTCTTCTTCCTCATCGTCATCTTCATCTGGATATTGGGATTTTTCAGTATATGTATTTCTTTTCAGCTTTTCGGCAGAACTGGAGGTTTTGTTTGCATCACGCCGTTTTAGTAATGGGTTATTGTAATAATGTTTTCGCAACCATGATGAATTTTGCGGATAATTGGAAGGACGACCAAACTAGATGTGCACAAATTAATACAAGAGTATCCGTTACATATAGTATGTAAACAGTCGAAATTGCCTACAGTGCAACATTAGTGACCTTTGTCTGGATTTATACTGGCCGTCTGGGATCAACACGCAACAAACATTTTCAAAATTGCTATAAAGCTACCAAATAAATTTTTTGAACGCATTCGCATTTGCTGTTTTTACTCGCTATGCGTATCAATTAAAATTATGTACCCTACAATGCCGTACAAAGTGTAGCACTTTCCATTCTTTAAGGGAGCATTTCATATTATTAAAGCCAAGATATCAAATTTCATATTTTTATTCTTACTGCTAAAACTTCAATATACGTGAATAGAGTTCCTAAAGTAACATACACTTGTCGTTTAGCAAATTACGAACAGTGGTTAGGACATTTGACTCTTAAATACTAGATTGCGTTTTATTATCAGTTAAGTATTATCACCAGCCCTTACACATGAATTATAGACTAAATCCATAGGCACGAAATTGCAGTAAATGTATATCCCAATTATAGCTGTTACCTTAACTTAGTGATCGGGCTTGCCTATCGTATAGACCCGACCGAGCTAAAGTGGCTGGAACATATGTTCTTGAGAGTTCTACCATGCCAGGTAGGTCGATTGGGGAACGATGAGACTAAAAGCAGCAACTGAAGGTCTAAGGGCGAAGTCGTGCTGCTGACTGTAGAGAGATGTGACACCAGTAAGGTATTTCCCTCGGACAACCAGATCTGCAGTGATGCTGCCTTCTCATAAGGAAGGAAAGGGTTAGAAAAGGTTGATCCTAAAATGTCACACCTCACCTTACCCCACGGATTTCCAAGTCCAGCGGTAAGGCCACTTGAAGAACGGATCTAACACTTAATAACCTCTCATAAAAAGGCCGTGTGTGACCGGCCTCAAGTAGTTGTCCCTTTGGCTCTGCGGTCATACTCCCAGGTCCCTAAGACCAACACCAATCTAAATCTCTTTTCAGGTTCTTCAAGAGACACATTTCCATCGTTTGGGTAGCCGGGAAGTGACATCCGCCTTCATACCCGTGAAAGCACACGAGACCAAATTGGTCACAATCAAATCTTTCCTACACCCCCTAACATCTCTGTTATTTCCACAACTAACCGTTCTCACATTCTTATATCAACCCACGCCGCCAATGCAAACGATTCGAGTTCCTGAAACGTTATTCCTGGTCTCCTGAAACCCAGTTCTAAACTACATGATAGGGCTTTCAATGTCCAGACATTTTGCCTAATAGGACAACAAACTTCCTTAGCTAGGACTCTAGAATCTCGCGCCATCGCTGTATGCTGAGTCACCGAAACGCGCATACAGGATCCGAGTACAGTGATTAATTTGACTTCACCTTGTCGAGATAAAGAACTAACTCGGTTTACGTTCCGTTTATCTGAAAGCTTTGCTGCTCCTCTCTCCTGTGTCCTCGCTGGTGTAGGTACAGCAGAGTCCTAGGGCAGAACTAGCTCTCCTTGACTGGATCCCAGTACATAGTCGCTTGTGCACTATCCAACTAAACGGGACAGTAAGGACTCGGAACTATGGGGACACTCGCCGTTGCCTATTCTTCGTATCTGCCTAAGCCCCCTCTGACTGCAGTTCAGACGAGGTGAAAGATGAGTTCGACAGAAAGCTTTCGAACCTCCAAAAAGCTAGGCACTCTGATGTAGTAATAATGGCTGGTGACGTTAATGCTCAAGTAGGTAGACCCAGTGAAAAGGAAAGACACCTGGGTGGATCTTATGGTGTCGCGGCTCAGAGAACAGACAATGGCGACCATCTTCTGCAACTATGCTCAGATAACCGCATATTCCTGGCAAATACTAATTTCAAGCACAAGGAAAACACCTCTTTCCCTGGCGACCCCCAAAGCCGACCCTTTTAGATCGCATCGCTATCAGCCATCGATAGAGGACTGTCACTCATTCTGGAGCACACGTTTAGATTAAGACCAGGCCCTAGTACGAGTGCGGATCTGTTTGCATCCTACTGGAAAGACACCGCAAGGGAACCTATTAGGGTTCTACTTAATGACAGCACAGCTGAGAATCTATTTCAGAAGCAACTAGAAAAATTTAGGCAGCCATGTAAGTGATTCCACCCCGAGGCAACTTGGAACGATATCCAAAAAGCTGTGGAAACAGTAGTGATATCTGCTAGTAAGGTAAACCGTAAGGTTGGGAAGAAGCCGTGGATCTCAGTAGCATCTAATGAACTGATAGATGCTCGGAATCTCATCCCGTCTGACTTTGAACATGACGAAGAGCAGAGTCAGCTTAAGCGCAGGCTGATAAAAAGCCTAAGCAATGATAACGAACGATGGTGCATGGAGAAAACAAGAGATGGAAATGGCAGAGATAGCAGGTCCCCATAGACAACTATTCCGACTTATCATGGAAATTGGTACTAAGGATCTTAATGTTAGCGAAACTATCTCGGAAAAGGATGGGCTTGTTATTCCTTCATTGGATAGAATAGCAGAATACTTTAGGCCTCATTTCAACTGACCTTCAGCCACACTACAATTACCCACGATCTCCAGTCAACCTAAATGGTGAATTGACGTAAGTCCTCCGACCTTTAATAAAGTTGAAAAGGCTATAAGAAATCTAAGGAGAGTGACAACAACAGGCACTGACAGACTTACCTCTGTAATTGAACACTACTGTTCGAATCAGAGTTTATGGCAAACTGTCATTGGAATCGACTACTTCAAAGTGGTCCTCGTCAGGGTTGGTCACTTTCTCCATTATCGTTTAACTTTGTTATTGGCATGCTTTTAGATTAACACTTTCATCTAACTTTTTAGGAATTGACCTATCAGGAGATTCGCTAGCTGATTTAAAATATGCCGACGACATAGTTCTACTAGGAGAAGACGCTGACAAAATACAGAGTCTTCTGACCACCCTAAGCAACGGTGCAAGCATGTTTGGGATGCAGTTCTCCCTAATGAAATCTAAAATGTGGCCTCAGGACTGGATTGCATCGGCACCTGAACCAGTAATAAGGAATGAAGTAGTTGAGCGCGTTGACCGCTTCACTACGCAGCAGTTGGGTGCAAAACATGGCCAGTAAGAGTAGAGGATATTCATATGTTACTAGTTTTCGATCACAGATGTCTTCGAAGCATTGTTCTTGTATCCTGAGACAATCGAGTAAGCCATGCAGTTGTTAGGAAACGAGTACTGAGTAAGGATGGTATTGGGATAGCCAATCGAGAAGAAAGCCATGCACATTGTGGATTGATGAACTTATCGATTAAATGCTTAAATATTTCAAGGGCAGTCAATCGATGAACTATTGGATTTAATATTCAAATATTTAAACGACAATATCGATTATATGTATAATTTTATAAATACGCATGTTTGATTGTATATTTTTGATTCTGTTAATAAGTGTTCTCCAACGTCTTCCGTCTTTTAATTTTTGACGGTGGGAGTCTAACGTTCGGGGGTCATTAATACAGTGGTTTGGCGTTACATCAAGCAGAAAACATAAAAGATGGCAAATCAGTTGATAAAGTGCTGAATCTTTATCAGTTGAGATGGTCGGGAAATGTGTTACGTATGCCCAACCACAGACTACCTTGAGCTATGTTTTGTGGTATAGGAGTAGGTTGGGAGAAAGCTAGGGCGACCAAACCAAAACATGGCAGAAATCCATGAAGTCACTGCCACGTGAACTGCACCATGTTGGTAGGTGTGAACCACCTGGTTGGGGTCCACGAAGTGACAGTAACCAATGGTTACAGACCTTGGATGACATGGCTCAGAATCATTCGCAATGGGGCAGATGTATCCATTCTTCGTGTTCTCTAAAAATTCTAATCTTCTGAATTCCTTATAACTTACATCTTTCTTTTAAAATTTATTTTATTGAATTATACTACTTGAATTATATCTTCCATCCCTAATCTTCTCCATTACCGCTATTACTTCTACTACCTCTACTACTATGGAATTTGAATTGACAATTGCGACTCTGTGCTAATGAGGTACGGTAACCTGGACTAATGTAAGTACGTACGAACTTCTACGTTGTAGCTGACTAACTGAATGAGTGGATGTGTAACTTTAACTTAACAAATCAAGAGAACTAACTTTTGAAGATCGACTACCACGAATTAATTGAGCTGATTTTCGTTTACGCATACCAGAAGCAAAGCTTGAACTTCTCCACGGCACAGAAGTTGTGAGATTTCTTTGTGCATATTTTTTGTTGTTAATGTCACCAGATACATCTTTGTGCTTTCGAGATAGAACATCTTCAGAAAAAGCCTGGATACCAACTGAAGCTAGAACAGATTGCCGTTCTTTCTCTCTCATACATGCTACACGTTCACGAGCTTCTAATTTCCACTCAGCTAGCAAAATATGAAACTCCCGTAAAATTTGCGGAGAGAAGGAACTTATAGGACGCGATTGTTCATCTTCAGAAGGCTTAAGTAGCTGAAATTTAAAAACATCGTAATTAACTTCATAACCATAGAAAGAAATAAAGTGGTAAAGGCACTAGAACTGATGGGAATTTAATTTAATATTTTTCTTGGAACTGAGATAATCTGATAAGTAGTTAATTTGACGTAGTATATGCTACACATAATTCAATAAATATAAGCGAGGGAACAAGAGCAATGTTCAGTAGATTTTGATACACTCCGTGCCTTACCCAGGAAACACCAGCTTGAGGCACTCACACCCCAACTAAAACAAATAATCCTGATGAAAACTGAGCTTATAAAAACGTACCCAACAACCTTCGTAAATGTGGTGCTCTAAAAGTCCAGTTTCATTTTTCTGGTCAATCACTGAATTTAACTTAGTTACGATATATTACGCTGCAAAATCTACCGTACTAAAATTAACATTAACATACAGGTCATCTACACCAAAGCAGGTGAGAAGGGTTTAAACAAATAACTAAAATCTGGACATCATAGTAACAGCGAATGTAAAAGGTTATTTATTTCATCATTTTTTAGAAATATATTTAGTTTTTAACACACTAAATACTATTCAGCCAACGAATTTCATGTTTAGCAGCAATAAGATTTAAATAATTCTTCACTTTATCTATTCATTTATATTTAACGGTTCAGTGGTATTGATGCGCTTACGTACGAAGTTCTACGTTGCAACTGACTGACTGACTGACTGACTGATGCGCTCGATTTCCTTTCATATGATTTTACAATCATTACAATAGCCAAAAGGTTTTTACGACAGTGAAACGGATACAGTAATCAGACTGACATTTTTATAACAGTCCCAAATGAAAGGAATTTAGAGTCAAGAACCACTAACCAATAAAAAAAACATACAAGGACTTAAATGCTAATATATCTATACAAAATATACGAACGGAATAGTATGACTGAGATACCTATCGGTTAGCAAATAAACAATCATCGGTGAAGATAAATGTGACGTAACAACTAGTCATTACTCACTTCTACTAATCACAATGAAGGGAGATTTAAATTTTGCTCGGTTCATCTGATAATGACTGGCTAAGAGGCTAATATGCCAATTTTTGACTTGTTTATCAAAATGTCTGTTAAATCTTATAGTAAAAGTCTAGTATTTTGTTTGTGATGGTAGATCTTCATCGTGCAATCATTAGAAATAAATATAAATCAAAATAGCTCAGTGAAGTGTTGGAAAAATTAAATTTTATTCTGGGAAGTGTTCACATGTTCAAGGTCCCAGAGCATAGTAATGCAATAAACTGTTGTAATGGGGTTGCTTTATTTTTACATTACACATAACAATAACTAAGCTTACGCTGTATTCAGGGCATGAAGAGCATTTTTTAAGCCAGTACTCATTTTCTAAATTTTGGTCTGAAAATAAAAATAGAGAATACAAATAATAGCTTTAAATGCGAAATTACACTAGAAATCACGAATCTGTCAATGTATAAGTATAGAGAAGAAAATAACAACTATCTTGACATAAATAAAAGATTTCCCAATAGGTTGATCTAGAGCAAATATGTACCTTATTTGAAAAACAGGAAAACTTCAGAGTGCCGGCAAGAGACTGAATGAGAAAATTTAACTACCGCCAACGGTAACTACTAACGCTGCAGTAGTGCATGGGTTGAAGTAGAAACGGAAGCATGAAGTATTTGTAATCCATAAATGATAAGCTATAAATAACAGTGACTAACTAGTGCTAAGCATTTAGACCAATTAGTGGGGGGAGTTTTAAAATTATGTATAATTTCACTGACTTCAGCAATAAAAATCAAATAAAAATCCTAACAAGAAAACTGAAACATTATTCTATATTCATGAAGTTCAGTACGCATACAAACTTACAGAACTGTTAAACGACAGGAATGAGTATATGGTAACAACTTTGAAAGATTAGAAATTCTACTTCATTTATTATGAGGCGTAGCATACACTGTAGAGCCATATCTCATTCACATTAAACGACTGCTAGTAAAGATAACAGGTAATTTCAAACATTAAGTCTACTTCACACAAACAGTGACTAAACATTGATATTCGAAAGTGATAATAGTGTTTGTGATAACACGTAGTTTGCATAAAAGACCAAGACATTAGCAAGAGGTACAATATACGTAAGCAAATTCAGTTATTCGACCCGAAATCTAAATATATACATGTGTACTGTACTAGCATACTGAGTAATTCTATTAGATATGTATGGCTTTTTAAAGTTTGGCAGTCAGTAAGATTCGAAATCGTCTCTAAGAGGGTCAGCGAAATCCTAAGTGGATCAATACATATATATTCCGATAAATAAACTAGCCATCAAAAATATAGGTCAAGACGGGTCCTTTTTCAAAAATTTTCAAAGGGTAGATAAATGGACTGTAAATGGTAGAGTTTAACTAATGACTGACCTCATTGGCTAAAATATATGTTTAGTAGTTCAATTCAGTTTGCGAGTGTTTTGGTAGGATTCCCCCTTAAACAACGAGAAAACAATATAAACTTATTGAAAAAGTCTCATAGCTTTCAGTGTGTTCTTTAAACTGCATTGCAAAACACTTTACTAGGCCTATTCTAAGCAATGAATATAAAATTTCAAATAAAAAAATACCATGTTTAGGAACTCACACGTTGAAGGTTTTAGAAATACTGACTCGGGAAAACATAGATGTGGTATTTTATCTGTTTTGCTTTCCATTTAGTTTCTGGTATTCATTTACTACATAACCAAACAATTTCTATTTAAGTGGAGGCTAATTCAAAATCCCTCCAGCACTTAATGTCCAATATCTAACATACGATATCATTTTCACGAGCTAGTACAAACCAATTGATTTCTCTGCGCTCGATTCTCGTTCTTTCGGTACGGTTTCGGGTTTTCGGTGGTTTCCAATGGATGGCGGTCTAGCCACGCGACTTCACTAATTCTATTCAGTTGGCAGTTATTTGTGATTGTGTATGTTCCGTGATTTGAGTAAGTACGTTTGTTTCAGGAGACTGAGACTCCTAGATACCGGCAGTTATCACGTTATCAGGTCACAGATCAGTTACCTTCATGGTGGGTGATGATAATGAGAAAAGTCTAATGCTTATAAGAAGATTTCAGAACTAAGTAAATAAATGGATAATTTAGTTTATTAGTTGGTATTGAAGATTGTGCAAGAGGACTAGAGTGTAAGCAAGGTTGTGGAAACAGAGATAATAAGCGACACAGATTAAGTTAGTGATCTGAGAAGATGGAAATAATATAACTAGCACGTCCCAAAACATTCATCAGGGGGGGAGATGATAATCCGTCTGTAAGAACGTGTTTATGAAGTCTCTTTTTAAAGCTGTCCACTGAGGAGGCTGTGGTCGCCTCGTCTAGGATAGCATCCTGGTTTGCAGTTACTCTTAATGCGAAAAACTTTGCACGAACCTGAGTGTCCTCTCTTTGGTTCGCAATGTCTAATATCATTTCCATGAGCTTGTATGAGCCAATTAATTTCTTAATGCTCTGCTCTTGTTCTTTCGGCATGGTTCCAGGTATTTGAAGCTTAACTGAATCATCTTCCCCTCCTACAGACCTCTAGATCTTTGCGCCGTCTCTACAGATAAATGGTGCTGTGCTAGTTTAATCAAACAGGTCATTATTAAGTATCCAGAAGAGGAAAGGATTCTAGATAGTCCTCTTGGAATCTTCTGATGTTGGAACTCACCAGCTCCTCGGGGAAACCTTCTATTCCATAGGTATTTTCCGACCTAAAACAGAAATGAATTGATATCGCCCGTGAACTCAACCATCAGTTAAGTGATATTCTTCAGATATGTAGTCTGACGGATACGCTTCGTTGTGTCAATGAAACAATCCATGATGCTTTTAGCATGACGACTGATAACATTTGCCAACATGATTGACGTAATTTTTTAAGAAAAAATCAGCTGATCTGCTCTGTCCACACCGATCAAACTGTTCTGTTGTCTATAGTCGGTGACAAATGATCCATGTAACAAGGTGGAACGCCACAACAAACCCCAAGCTCTTGAGTCACAACGGATCGCCAGGCATAGATGACTTACATTCGGACATATTAGGAATGTTGTTGACCTGATTATAGGACTGAGTGATTGACTCACAATAGTTTAACGATTTCAGAATGTTCCAATGTTATGAGGTGCGTCGACCTCGTTTCCTACTTTGCTGAAGAGGTGAGGTCAATTGTGTGACATCAGTCGGGGATTAGGTCCACTTGCGACTGCATCCAAACTTTCGGCTAGTTTTTGGAAACCCAGAAAAGATTGACTCAATAGGTTTAGGCTTTCTGTCTTAGTCGAGGACGTATTAGTCAAATAATTGCCTTCTGCCAACTTTCAGAACACCACCACACTTACCGCAGGCCAAGAACCGTTGATTTTCTTGATATCAGCGCCTCTTTCGATTCCTCTAATAGGATTGTTCACTGAAATTAGCTATTGAAGAACAGTAAGCTTGAATGTCCTGAAAGTCCTATACATAAACACTTCAAGTTGAGTGAGAACATACAACTAATTCCTTCTATTATTTCTTTCCAGCTGTAGAGTTAGGCTGAGTTGCCAAATTCACCACCCCTCTTTTATCTCGCCATCGGTGGTGTTCCAGAAAAGCCTCTAATGTATGTGCACAATGAAAGTGCAGATATGTTGCCCGGAGTGAGTGTTCGCAAAATATCTCCTTACTTTGCTGAGAGTTTCAAGCCATGTTGTCAGCACCTAATCAATCAGCATCCACAGACTTGACACGTTCTTTTACCGTAATTACGGAGTGCTTTTTGGGAGCTCTCAGTATCCCGAACCTGCACTTACGCTTGGTAGTGAGAGAATCGAAAAAGCTGAAAGTTCATGTACCTTGGTAGCTATGTTCGAATCTCACACTTGATTATTATATTATCCACTAATTGTTCAGAAAAAGGGGAAAATTTCTTCTTCTAATCCATTCTAACCTTACCTTAATGGAACCACTTTCACTCTTATTACTCTCTTTACTTTTTTAACTATATTAAACATTTTTCCCTATCTCTTCTGAATCCGATTACATTCTGCGGCGTGTAAAGTTTCTGATTCCCCTTTCAGTCAGTATCTATTTGTTTAAGTAATGATATATACATATAGTTTGTCCTGTATATTATAAGTGGGTTTATTCAAGGTCGATAGGGTTTCTAGAGCCGGAAATTACCACATGTCTAGACAGAGAAAAGAGTAAACAAATATCTTCAATGTAGACGATCAAAGAGAAAAATGAAATATTAAACGGTCTAGTAAGTCCTTGACAATGATTACGATCTCATTGGTTTCACCAAACAAATATACGCACCAAAAGAAGGTTTAATACGTCATGCCAAGTATCTCAAACAATAGATAATAATTATGGATTCAACATACTTCTACACACCGGCTGTTATTCAAATATATCTTGTGATCAAATCACCGTAAGTGTTATCAAACACTGTGTATTCGCAGCATTTCTATTCACGAACCTTGGTGTGACCTACGCATTGAATTATAAACTGTGGGTCACAGTATAAACACGTACGCTTATCTACTGTGACATTATTTTTGTGTACTTATTTTCTCCGCAATTATGTTTACAAGTTTTATTCTTTTTATTCCCTAATACTCATATTTTTGAAGGCACAAACTTCCGCATTTCTGAAGTTGCTGATAATTCTGTAGCTTCTCCAGACACAAACTTTGCATCGCAGCAAATCTCTCAAGAAATTATCCTACCAGTATGCAATGACTGAAGCCATAATCGGTGGATATAAATATCCGTTATGCGCTCTTCATTTGATGAAGAGGGTTTGTTTGTTCATCGACTTCGATGCATATGTTGCTATTGCTCTGATAGATCTAGATGTTAGTCGACAAGAACCTTATTTTACTATGAAGAAGAATTAAAAAACTGATTTGTTGTAACTCAGTCTAACGAAAATCGATTCTCTGGATTTTCATCATTGCGAAATTCTGTATGGCTCTGAAATACTGTAAAGAAAAAGTCTATGGAGGTCCAGAAATCGCTTGAGTGTGCTTCATCTAATAAGCATTAGTTGGAACAATAACTGAAGAATTTAGATTATACAGAATCACATGCAACCGTTTCGGTAGGATATCGACTTGTGCCTCTGCTATACTTATTATGGTTTTGTAAACTCCTAGAGATTTCAGCTCATGTGTGATCCATAAATGCCCTCGTTTTTCTGGATTTTAATCATCCCCAGAATGAAGAGTTAATTTCATGTTTTTTACCTTGTGTTTCCGTGTATATTCAGCTTGAAGCTCTAATGGACCGCTAGGTAGTAAGATCTAAGTGGTTTAATTATCATAGACGTGTCAGTACCAATCATCGGAACCGATATACTACAATATCATATTTTACTGATTTATCCAGGCGACAAAAAATAGCAAAAGGAAATACTAATTCATCTGCTTTAGAAGATTGATTTTCTGGTTGCAGATTATGCCATTTCACGACTAACCATCTAGTCTAACCATACTACTAATTGATACTTGTGAAATATCCCGAAGCGTGCAAAACACGGTAGCAGTTACCATGTGTAGCACGCGTTGATAAACAAGACATCGCGACTGCTCTTGACGTGTTTTCTTACACTTGTCATCAGCAATTCAGGAAGTTGGTTTGCTCGGCCACGGTAGATTTTTAGTCATGTCGTCTATCCAACGGATCTAAATCTTGCGTAGAAAGCAGTTTATAAACACTCCTAAATTTGAATAATGACTTTCGTAGTTCTCCAGGTTTCAGATTCATGCAACAGAACTGTCTAGATGATTGAACTGAAAATTTTCACTTTCCTGTGAGCTGACAACTGTTTATAGTCTGAAATGTTCGTCAGTTTTAGAGATACAGTCATCACGTTGTCAGTTCGTGCCTTCATATCTGCATCAGCTGCACCTTTTTATCAGTGATGCTACTCAGGTATGGAAAAGTTCCCACATCCTCCACACTTCCGTCAACGAGTATTTAATTACTGTTTGCTTTGTAGAATCGAAGGACCTCGTTTTTTTCTTCGCACAAGTTGTTGTCTACGACATCTGAAGCTGCTGCTACACTAACCGTCCTCATCCGAATGATTCACTGCCAGTGAAACAGAAGAGGTAGATTATCTGCGAAGTCCAAATCGTCTAGATGCATCCGAGCTGCTCGTGTCTTTTGCATCCCTCGAGATGATGAGATTTTCATGATGCAACCAACCACAAGGAGGAAGATTAAGTGACACCGTCTGACACTGGAATTCACTTAGTCTATGGACATCCTTACATGCATAATCTTTTAGTTCAATTCACTGTTATAATTCCATGTGATAGTGACGAGAAAGAACCCACAAAGTTCCGTCAAACGTTTTCTGGCGGTCAAGTTGATGTACGCTGATGAGTTCTACTCAACTGATTATTCAACAATAATCCATAAAGTGGAGGTTCATTCAGTACACAAGTAATTCTTATAAAATTCAGCCTGTTGATATCGAAATGGGATGTCTTTGAACCTTGCATTCGGTTCAAAAGTACTTGAAATATTCTTCTAATACTGATAGTAGTCACGACCATAGGACCACAGGTATTATCCAGAGCATGCTGTCTACCTCGCGAAGATCTACTAATCGGAATCGAATTCAATCATTTTGAAACGTATACAACTATTAAAGCTTATGGGTATCGCTTTTGCATATGTTATCTCAAGCAAATGACAACGATTGGCATTTAGCTGGTTATATTCGGTGATTTAGCACAGAATGCACAAAACATGGACACTTGTTGCAGCACATTCATGACTTGACAGCCTACTGGAGAGTTACGACATTCTTTCCGAAAATAAACTCATTTAAATAGCATAACCAAATTGCTAGGGCTACGGAAGACCTTACTAAAATATCTATAACTACTCCCATTGGACTCTATGCATTTTCTCACATGATATTCGGTTTAAGAAATACATCTCAGACTTTTCAGAAATTCTCTCGAAGCGTTATTAGAGTTCCTGTTTTTTGTATGCTTATGTTGATTACTATATTACAACAGGCATTCGGGCATCATTTTCTTAAAACTTTGAAAACATGGCAATGATATAAATATGTAAAAGTTTTAAATCGGGGCTGACTACCCTTGTTTTAATGAACATACGTTTGTCGCTCACAGAATTCATACCCTCAAAAATGAAATAGCAGGTATTCTGTCTTACTTAGAATCGACTACAGTCAAGCAAACCGCTCACATTCAACACACTGGTAGGTTTTTAATGACGGTTCGCAGAGGGTTGCCATTTCTCTTATTACCCAATAAGCAAACCAACCTCTAGGTTGAAATATGTAGAAACCATTTCCACAGTGGACCACTTACTAAAAAGAACTGGCCCCTATTGTCTATCTTCTGCCTTAAGTAAGAAACTTCAAATCTACGAAATAAGTGAATATTGGACGTAGAAACTAGATTACCTTGAACATCAGTAAAACAAGTCGACCGTATAAAGCCAGTCATGCTTTGCTCTCAAATTCTTTATTCATGGCACCTAAACTGGGTTATTGGAAAATAAGAGGCGTAAGTGTCGTACTTCTTGAAGGAAGATAATGCATTCATTTTGCGTTGCTGAAGGTTCATAGAGGTCCTGATGTCGTGGTAACAATATATATGTATATCATTCATGTTTTTTTATTCACTCTGTTATAGTCGTACACTTTATGCATTTTGTACACGTTCTTTTTTTGTTTAGCTATTTCAACCAACTCGGCTTTTTTTGGAATACCTTGGCGAAACATATGAAGAGCGTACATATGATCGCAGTGATATAGATGCATGGAAGGACGACAAATTCAAATTAGGCCTGGAGTTTCCTAATGTAAGACACTTATTTCGCCACTGTAATTTAAGTTTTAGCTTCCTTATTATATTGATGATGATGTCAAATTAACGCAGTCGATGTCTATCATACGTTATATAGCTGACAGACATAGCATGTGTAAGCGAAAATTGTAATCTATTTTCTCAGTGGGCAATTGTCCAACAGAACGTGCAGAACTGTCAATGCTTGAAGGAGCGATTTCGGATATTAGATTGGCTGTTACAAGAATTGCATACAATAAGGAATACGTAAGCTAAAATCAAGTTTTGCCTATTTCAAGGAAACTCTCAAAGTTGGTTTCCTCAAAGAACTTCCAGGAAAGCTAAAGTCGTTTGAAGACCGTTTATCTAGCCGAATGTTTTTGAATGGTAGCTGTGTAAGTTAATAAATTTTAATTCGGTCTTTATTAAATTGATCTGATTGTATCTCTCCTCTCTTAAGAACATGCTACAATAGGCTCGCTCTGATCATTGGTCAGCCTAGTTTGTAGTACATAAACATAACTATATATCAAACTGCTTCTTGATTTTACGTCTGTGAGATTAAACATCGAAAACTCGGAAATTAACAAAAGATGCATTGGTTCAGGTTGTAGTTTTTCAAACCGGCACATAAAACCAAATAGGAAAATTAAGACGATGAACTATAAATTTTAGGGAAGTGTTTTAACTAAAACGTAGGAAGAATAAATGTCGACATGAAATTTTTTATCAACAGTAAGCTGCTGATTCACTGAAGTAAATTACTGATGTTTCCAAGAGAAGCGTGTTCTCCGATTCAGAAGCCGCTTATATCAACGTACTAATGTGTTTATCTTGACCTGACCACTACAAAAGCTGTATTTCTAATTGAGTTCTAGAAAGCTAGTATAGTTTCTTGCTTTTTATAGTTTTTATAATCTGTTTATTTTCACAGGTAACTCATCCTGACTTTATGCTATATGATACTCTTGATGTGCTTTTATACATGGACCCGAAGTGCTTGGATGAGTTTCCAAAATTAATCTGTTTCAAACAACGTATTGAAGTAAGTTCGTGATGAATTGATTATACTTCTCTTTTGTTTCAACGGATTCTCACCTACTTTTCTCCCCTTTCAAACCAGGATTTGCCGCAAATCAAGGAATACTTCAGTTCTGCCAGGTTCATAAAATGGCCTCTACATGGTTGGGATGCCACGTTTGGTGGAGGAGATACTCCTCCAGAATGAACAACATTTAACGCTTGTCATATTTATTGAATAAAAACATAATAAAACCTTAATTTTTTCTTTTTTATGTAGAAATATAGTAGTGTGCGTAAATGAAAGAGTGCCCAAAAAGTAAACTTATCGTGTATATGTATATATACTCTATGTAGTTATTATTATGAGTGCAAAAGGATTACTTTGATACTTGAAAGTGTTGTGTATGGTCAGATTAATTCCATACATATTCCTAATCACCGCCCGATCACGCAACTGCTTTTAGAATATGATAACAACTAGGGACAAAGACACCAAGTTACGACCCATTAATTCGTTACCTGGTGAGCTGATTTATATTATTAAGCGCAAACTGCTTGACTGGTATACGTACAATAGTTATGGCTTCGGGTGACATCAGTTGCTGTGGCGTAAGTGTGTTCATTCTCTAACTTCATGTAACTCTTAGTACGACCGCATGCTTTCTATTCTGCCTACTTATTCCGTTCTTATAAACCATACTCTATGTTTAGTCTGCCTTTTATGATCGATATTATTATTCGTTGTTCATCTTGTTAATTCCATCTCCATAAACTGATACAATGAGGGCAGCTTGGGCCGACGCATATTTGTGACAGGTTCTACGTTAATTATGGGTGACTAATTTTTGTTTTCATTAGGTTACAGTGTTCGTTTGCAGGATACATCCAACTAGTGGGTCTTAGTTATTTACAGTTTATTCGGCAAGAGCTTACAAGTCGTATACATTAGCTAATATATATCTTTACTCCTAGAATGTTCCGCTCAATAAGTAAAGTTCGGGTATTCGCCTGTAATATAAATCTTGTGGATGATGTTTCCCAAAAAATGTTTCATCTGGCAGCCGATTTTCAAGATAGGACATTAGTCAAAATTGCCTTCAATACAAATTTTAATTTTGTTGGGTAAAACCTGATAATGCTAGAATTGAGTGGTGCAGACTTTTTGATTGTAGAAAAGAAAGATAGACAGATACAACGCAGAACTTCATTCGTCAGTACATCAGTTCAGATTGCCTTACCACATCAGCACAGAGTCGCAACTGTCAATTCAAATCCAACAGTGATAGTGATAGTAGAAGTATTAGCAGTAATGGAGAAGATTATGGAGCGAAGAAATGGTTCGAAAACTATAATTCGGTGAGATAAATTTAGAAGGAGAAAGATAGAGATTATGAGGAATTCAGAAGGTTAGAATTAAAAAGCACACAATGAATGAACGCACCTGTGCAATCGCAAACGATTCTGAGCCATATCGTTCAAGGTCTCTAACAATCGGTGACTATCGTCTCGCGGACCCCAACCAGGTAGCTTACATCTACCAACATCACTCAGTCCACTTGTCAGTGACTTCATGCATTTATACCATGTTTTGGTTTGGCCGCTCCTAGCTTTCTTCCAATCTACTCCTACACTGCAATACACAGCTTGTCGCGGCAGTCGGTGGTTAGCCATACGTAACACATGTCCCAACCACCTCAACTGATGAAGTTTCAATGCATCATCTATTGATTTGCCATCACTACCTAGAACTGGTTTCCTAACGATAGCACTGCTCACTCGATCGTCCCATGATACACGAGCAATACTTCGGAGAAACCGATGGTCGAAGACTACTAACCTACGCAAGTCGTCTACTCTTAACGGCCATGTTTCGCATCCGTATAGTAGGACAGTGCGAACTGCTGCGCAGTACACTCGTCCCTGGTTCGTAGGCGGATATATCGCCTGCCCCATAGGTGACGCATGTTGGCCAAAGGTAATCGAGCCTCCTGTATCCGTGCTGAGATCTCGTCAGTCACCAGGCCATCAACACTGATGAGACTCCCCAGATAAGTGAAGCGGTCTATGCTCTCAACTACTTCACTCCCTATCACTAGTGCCGATGAAGTCGCAAGCCAATCCTGAAGCAACGTTTTGCATTTCGAGGGGGGAAACCGCATCACGAACATGCTTGCATTGTTACTTAGGTCGGTCAGAAGACTCTGCATTTTGTCAGCGTCTTCACCAAGTAGGACAATGTCATCGGCATATTCTAAGTCAGCGAGCGATTTTCCTTGTAGAAAGTCGACTCCTGAGAAGTCGGACGAAGATAATGTTATATCTAGGAGCATGTCTTTGACAAAATTAAACAAGAATGGGGAAAAGGAATATCCCTGGCGGACACCACTTGATGTGCAGAATTTAAACGACAGTTCGCCATAAGCTCTCACTCGACCATTACTTTTATAGTAGAGAGCTTGTATAAGGTTAATGTACTTATTTGGTACACCTTTCAATGACAGACACTTGCTAGAGAACCTCACGATCCACAGAGTCGAATGCCGCCTTCAGGTCCAGGAACACAACTATTGTAGGACGCCTAAATATGTGTCTGTGTTCCAGGACCTGTCGTAGTGTGAAGATATGGTCTATACAGCCACGTCCAGGTCTGAAACCAGCCTGGTTTTGTCTAGTCTTCTCTTCACGAGCTCTAGTTTGGCGTCTAAGGATTATCGAGGCTAACAGGTTAGGAACTATAAGATTCGGACGGATTACCCTGTGATTGTCACAATAAGGCTTTTGTCCTTTCTTATAAATTGGGACAATCAAGAATTGGGACCAGTCAGATGGGATTAATTCCAGTTCCCAGATTCTACCTAAGATCTCAGTCAACCTAGCTGCTAAAACTGGACCACCATCCTTAAAAATCTCGGTAGTCAATCTGTCGGGTCCTGCTGCAGTTTATGTGATGTCTATGTATTGAAATCATTCAGGCGCATTTTCTAGGGATTAAAATACGCCTAACCTGTAGATCACAACCCAAAAGCAGTGATAGATATGTCTAATCCATGATATTTTGCAACCGTCTACTAATTGTATTGGTCGCATCTAGCGCAGTTAGTCTACATTGGTCACATCCCCCAAATGGAATTCCAGACTAACTTCTTAAAATTAGTCACTACTTAGCATATGATAATTACCAGTAAGTAACTTAATTAGGCTACCAGTTGGAGTTCTTATCACATAAAAGTGTGCTTCAAATGTTAAAAAATTTGGCTTAGAGTGGAAGTTGTGATTATAACAAAAATTCCTGCTTTTTCCGCATTTGTCAAGAATTTAGTTAAGGTAATTTGTATAATTAGGTGGTTTAGGTGATATTTTCATGGTGAAGATCGTCTTCATACAACAGACTACCATCATCTGGAGGACCGACAAGAACCATACACTACTACAGAGTTGCATCGTTTTAGTTCGAGGCCTGTTGATAATCTATACGCACTAATGCGCTCGATATTGTGACAAGAATAATGAATTTTGATGGCTTGTTTCGGGACATTAGTACACTTAATTCCTACTAATGTAATTACTAACAAGCCATATAATTTCCAAATTTCCTTAATTATAAGTTTTGTTTTGATTTATAAACTAGTGTTACATCTCATTGCGCAGTAATTTAATCGTGATCTAATTCAATTTAGTACACTGGATGGCGCACAGTTTAGTTTTTTGATTATTTCGCTTTTTGGTCAAGTTGTATATATGCTTAGACATGTTAATGTTTTAGCCAAATCGGATCATTAAGCTCAAAGTCGAGTAGAGTTCATTACGATTGTTTGATTGGGTCTTAGCAAGTAAGTCTTGCTTAACCAACCAGAGTCTGCATAAAAGGTTATCTATATGCGACACTAGGATAGTGTCCCTACAAGGTTAGTTAGCAATACTCAGACATAGGCATAACATACACAAGGTCAAGTCGAGTAGCATAGTGTATCAATGATATACACAACCTGCAAATCCATCTCTAGTATATATAACCTCACTACCAGTGAGCAACAGACGTCATTACATATGTGATCGATTATAAGAGACTCAAGTATCCCACAATACTAGAAAGTATTGGTAGTTTATTTTGTCAACTTGTAAATATCCGGTCTCTCTACACAATATACATTTTCAGATGAAACACAAGTGGTAATACCACTGTCTTACTTCATAAATGAAATCACATATATAAAGTCAAAATGGCTATGATAACATTTCTATCCGACTGAAAATAAATTGAGAAAGGGTTGACGAATACTGGTTGGTATTAATTAAGCAACCAAAAGTAACGAGATAGTGTGGTGTGAGCTACTTATAAGTAGTATATGACCTGAGTGTCAACGTAATTTCTGGCAGCAGAAGATGGGGGAAGATCAAGAAAGGAAGAATGAGAACACAATGGAATTTGTATGAAACGCATGAATAGGGACAATGGATTGATGTTTTGCAACAGGAACAGTCCAGTTCGATATGATGAACTGATATTTTGCAAATTAACGATTTACGTTATGGTTTTCCGATTTGTAACCATGAATCGATCAATGTTAGACCACCATTAGAAACCTGGAAGCACTGGACGGCCATTTCGTCCTGGTATGGAACTCATCAGCAGTGCGCATCCACGACTCCTGCACCCCGCAGGATTCGAACCCAGGACCTTCGGTACTGTTATTTCAAACAACATAATGAACATATTTAAAACAAATATGTTTACAAACAAAAACAATTACTATCATCATTTCATCGTTGAAATGTCTATATATGTACACAAAATTGACTGTATACAACAACAGTGTGAGTGTAGTAGTTATTGACTTACATTTATTTGACCGATTATCATCATATCATTATTATTATTATTATTTAGTCTACATAAATAATTTTTTTTACTACAATAATAATCCAATTTTCTTCAAATCATGTTTGTTCTATCGGAATAATGATACTTTGAGAAAATTTGACAATTAATCTCTATGAGATAATAAATATAAACGATGCATTCGTATGTGTGTGTGTGTGTGAGTGTGCAAGTGTGTGTGAGTGTGTGTATGAGTGTGTGTGTGTGTGTGTAGATCCAGTTTGAAAAATGTATTCATACAGTTTTAGTTTGAAACGTTGGAGATTCAACGCTGATTACCAACCATTTATAACAACATTCTAGTCTTTTCTCTCTCTCTCTCTCTAATGTTTTTGTACATTGAAATTACGAACATAATACTTCATAAATGTATTTGTT